ACAATTTTTCAGTCATTCACGGACATATACACACTCATTGTCATGTTTTTTTCTCTGTGAGTTATCATAACATTTTGTGTATATTTCCCTGTGCTATACAGTATAATCTTGTTTATCTAGTCTACAATTTTGAAATCCCAGTCTTCAGTCCTCACAGCTCTCCTTTGAGGTAGAAATATTCCTCCCACCCAAAGATAAGGAGCTGGTGGGTGGGTGGGGTGTAAAGTTGGTTTATCTAAGCTCACACTGTCCGCCTCATTCCAGGGCGTCCAGTTGGGATGTTCTTTCCATGACATCAGAGCTGCAGCAGACAGAGCCTGCATGGAAATTAGCAGGTTCACTTCATTTGGCAATTATCTGGTTAATTTTGATCAATGCAGCGCTAAGGATCTTAGTGGGGTATTTCCCATGTATAGCTTCATCTACCCCTAATATTATTTACTTCTCCATCCTCAGCATCAGTGTGGCTCTGCACATGTGCTGCCCGGGAAGCTGTTATCTGTCAAACTGCCCCCATCCCCCTGGTGGGTAATAAGAATTCAACTTTTATTTGGAGCAAAAGTTCCCAGGGGGTCACATGGCCCAATAACAAAGGATTGTGATTTCTTACTGGTTTAATAGCATCTCTTTTGTAATCCCGAATGTACTCTGTTTTAATTGGATTTGTTAAAGGAACAGAGGGAATAGGTGCCTTACAGTTAAAATAAAATATTAAGATTATTAGTTTAACAGGCTAGAAACGCCTTGTTCATCAACCAACACATTCAAAGCGCACAGAGCAACCTTGATTCCCAGGAAAGCGAAGAACCAGAGTCAGTCCTGGCACCTTTAAATCCCAAGAGGTGAGCATTAAGTCAGTTTCAGCCAGCATGGTTTAAGCACCGCTATGGCCAGACAGGTGTGACTGGATTTTTCTCCTCACAGCCACGGCCTCCCTTGCAGACAGGGAAGCCGGGATCAGAGAAGTGGCTCGACAGGGCAAGAAGCACAGGGGCTCGAGACCCACGTGGGCTGCCGCCCAGCTCCTCGTTTATTGTCCACTGACCCTGGCCAGTCTGCAGAGCGTCACTGAGCTTCAGCCCCCACTTCTGTAAATAGGACAATAAAAAGTGGCTGCTTCTGAAGGGCAGGGTGAGGGTGAGCAACTGTGTGTCAGGGCGAGGGGAGGTGTGGGGAGCAGCAGCGGCGGGGACTGGACTGATACATCATAACTGATGACAGTGGAGCCAGGACGCCAGGATTCCAGTGGGTTAGAAACACATAGCACAGCGTCCTTACTTACTGGGGCATCCGTGTCTTCCGGGTGGAGACACTGGGTTACTTTATCTGGAGAACAAGGACATTGCCCCCCAGGATGGCAGAGTAGGGGGCAGTTCTCAAGTGCTCTGTGCTTTGTGCATTCTTTCTGTACCATGACCCCATGTGGCCTCAGGGAGAGCCTGCTAAGGGGTGGACCTGGTGCCGAATCTGGTGCACACGCTGGTGCACCTCGGCGGTGTGCACTGGTGGATACCCCAGTGGGGTTCCCCTGTCTGCTGTGGGACAGCTCCCAGCTCCGAGAAAGGCTTTGCTGGAAACTCGCCCACCTGTCAACTTCCTGAAGGGGAGCCCTGAGCACCAACTCTAAAGGAGCAGCCGAATTTCCTGTGGTTCTTTGGAGTTCATTCATTCATTAACAGTGTGCATTGGATAACGACTATGAATGAGGTGCTTATTTATGCAACAAGCACAATAAAGGCCCTGCTCACATCCTATAAGAGGAGATGAACCAGAGCAGACAAACATAACACCAGGTGCCATGAGTGCCAGGAAGAGAAAGAGCTGGGACAAGAGAGAGAGTGTTGTGGGGAGACGTGCTCTTTTGGAGACGTGACCAGGAAGGGCCTCTTTGACCAGAAGACGTCTGAGCAGAGACAGAAGTGAGGATGCAGGGAGGGTGTTTCAGACAGAGGGAAGGCCAGATGGAAAGGCTCCAGGCTCCATGTCAGAGGGGAGGGGAGGGACAGCAGGAGGGCAGGGGAAGGAGGGGAGACCATGGAAGGACAGACGGAGGGAAGGAGGGAGGGAGGGAGAGAAGGAAGAAGTGAAGGAAGGAAAGAAGGCAGGCAGGCTAAAGGCAAAAAAACAAAAACAAAAACAAAAACCCAGGGCAGACGTGCTGTGCCGTGTTTTTCAAATGATACTTAGCTGTTGTGAGAAAGTCCCCAGGACATGTCAAACCAAGGAGAGAAGGCCCGTGCCTACACTTCCCCCAAAGTGACCACAGACAGGACAGGGTCTCTCCACTCTAATTTCTACCTGAGGCAGCCCCTTGCTCTCTTGAATCTCCAGCAAACTTGGCCGCGCTGGGGTGGTGACAGCGGGGAGTGGTACGCAGCCCCGGCAGCTGCCCTTGTCTCCCTCCACAGAGGTCCTCTCAGAGCCAGCAGGTCGGCCACCACCCTGAAAACCCTCAGTCAAGCATGGACGACTGTGGTATCAGAACCGCGTAGCCTTTTACACGTGGGTGACAGCAGTGCAGTGCCATGTCGGGGAGGATGCTTATGTAAACCCCAGCTAATCGGTCCCCATCTAGAACAGAAGGGCGCTGGAAGGACCACGGTCTCATTTTTAAAGGGATACTTCAGGTGAAAGAAAAAGGGTGCAAAAGAATAGTTCGGGGGTCTTTGTATATAAGGCACTTGTCTTTCAAAAACGCTGCGACTTCTAATCTTAACGTTTTTCTGTAGAAATATTTTCTAAATTCAAATTTCCCTTTCCTCCTTGAGTCTTTATCAGGCTTATTTAAAGATTTATTGAAGCATCTGAGGCCATCATCAATAAGACAGACCCCTTTTCTGATGACTTTGGGCACAGAGATATAACTTGTCAGGAAGGGTGCAAGCAAAGGCAGTACAACAGACGGCACTTTGTTTAGAACAGGGCAGCTCTTTGGCATGTTCCAAATAGGGATGGAGCCCTTCTATTAGCCATTTTGTCTGCTCCTTTCCTGTTATGTATAAAGTACTCAATAGAAGCCAGGCACCCAGGCGGTGGAGAATGTGGAGGCTTTGAGGCCACTGGAACTGGACTCCATCCACACCTTCACTGCCAACCTGGTTTTAATCATGAGCTCAGTTTACTGATCTGCAAAATGGGTTAGAAAGTTGCAGGTTGCTGTGAAGAGTCAATGAGGTGATGGCTACGTTAAGTGACTAGTGTGCACTGGGCACTCAGTGAATGGTAATCTGGTACCCGGTACCTTTATGATGGTAAATAACACTGATAGATTTCACCAAACAGCACCATATTGAGAGGCTCCCTCAAATCAGTAGCCCCGAGACCCTCCCTATTGGTCATTAATCCCAGATGTAGGATTCGTGGAACAGTCTTTGCTGATCCCCAAGCAGAAAAGTCTTTGCAACCTTTTAAGCACGATTAGTAATGATAGTAATAAGAAAAGAAAGTAGCTTGTCCAAAGTCACACAGACTTGAAGTAGGGGCACCTTCCTTTCCCCATGATACCTGTTGTGGAAATAGGGACGTGAGGCATGTGTTCTAGTGTGTTCCATGACCAGTCCCTCCTTGGAAGGCCCAGCCCAGCCTAGGACTCCACCGCGTGTCAGTGGATTCCAGTGTTCGGGATCACTTGCAGAAAGGGTTTGCGTCCAGACTTCTCAAAAGACAGACTATGCTCTAAGCTCCAGCACAGTCAGCAGTCACTGAGTGACATCTGCTGCTGAAGTCACCTTCACGGGCTTCGGCCCTCCTGGCTGGCCGAGCATTGCAGTTTCCTTACAGGGGTAACTGGGTGGGTGGAGGAGCAGTTCCAACACTGGTCTCCACCTCCTTGTGGTGCCACAAACGCTCCAGGACACTCAGACTTTGGAAAGATCATTAGAAAGTGTGACCCAAAGCCCCACGGACTCCCACACTAACCTCACGAGCTGGGCCGAGGACACCAGGCTGGCCACCCTCTCCCCAACCCCTGCTAGCTGCCCTTCCTGCCTGGGTCTCCGGGCCAGCTCCGTCCTCTCCTGAATAATGAATTAGCCAGTGGCGGTGGCGTCTGGGGGTTGTAAATAAAGCACACCAGGAGAACTGGCATTTTCAAAGTTGCTTACTCAAAGGAGGAGAGAAAAAAAGTTTGAAGAGGTCGTAGTGTGGCAGAGTTAAAAGTAAAATAAATGCAATTAGAGGAAAACTTACCCTGCTGGTCTCAGTTCCTCTTCCTCAATGGTGAAACTTTGTCACCAGGCAACAAGAGGCTTGGGATCTGGAGTTCATTAGCATAATCTGACGCCAGCCTGCAAGGTGAAAGAACACAGTGCTGACAGGTCTCCAGGACACTCAGACTCCCAGCAGGCCAGCTTGCTTCCCACGCAGAGGGAGGCCAGCTCTGGGGTCGCTGGGACTCTTGCCATGGGCGTGCTCCTGGCTTCCCCCAGCCTGCCGTGGGGGTTGCAGTATCAGCAGGGCTGCTTTTCTTGGAGACCGCAGGCAGTGCATGTTGCTAACAGAGGGGAAAGAGCCACGTTTGCCTCTTGGAAGGAAAAAATATCTTCTATAGCATTGAGTCTCATGAAACATCATAGACTTCCCTGTAATTTGGCCCCCATATTTCTTTCTTGCCCTTTGGTTTTTGAGAGGGGGCCGTCTTTTATCTCTTTATTTATTTGAATTTAATTTTTTCTTGAGGTTTTCTCTTTTACACCCCTTTTTCGCTATTAGATCAGAGTGACCACTGCTCATAAAAATCAGACATTCTACAACAATTTTTTATTCATTAATATTACATCATTCAGTGCTGATACGTAGTTTCCAAGCTCGACATTTTGAATGAATGTGCAATTATGAATCTCGTGGACCATGCTTTTCCTATTTTTTCCAATTTGGCACTATCATGAATAAGGCTGCAATGAATGTATTAAGGCATTTATAGTATTTTTGTTCATTTTTTCCCTTTAAATTCCAAGAAATTGAAAAATTTGGCAAAAAAGGTTAAATGTTAAAATTATTATGCAAATAATAAGATAACATTGTAGAAAAGTTAGAAATGCATATATAGAAGTAAAAAAATAAAAATACTTATTATTTTGAATAATGCCCAGGTTGAATTAAAAAATAAATAATTAGCAAATAAATACTATGAAATGCAAAATTAACCCAAGCAATAAAATGTTGAAAGTACAAAAAAGCAAAATGAAAAATTTTTAATTAAAAATAAAAATATAATAAATCTTTAAATTAGAAATATAGTTAACTATTAAAATTTTAAATATGTGAACACCAGCACTGTACTATTTAATCCAAAACTAAATAAAACAGATCATTTACTTTAGACAATAATTGGATTTAAAATAATGAACAAATGAAGATAAGTAGAAAATTAAAAATTACCTGGAATCCTACAACTTAGTACATTTCTAATGAGAACATTCAAAAAGCACATAAATTAGGAAATAAGTAATATGAAAATTATAAGTACAGATAAGCCAAAAGGAAAATCAGTATTTTAAGGGAGAAAATATATGAGATGATAAATACATTTTAAAATGCAGATATGTGAAACCTTATAAAAATTAAAGCCACTCAACGCATTTGGAGGTAACTTCCTGCTGAATACCCTTCCAGACTTTTCATGCATCTACAGCATCAAGTTCATGGCGTAAGTGTGCAGTAATAATTTGGTAATTTTGCTAATGTTCATTTTTAATGCTAAATATACCCAGGTTTATCAAGTAACATCTCTCTAATCCAGCCAGATCCAAGATTTTAGTTGTCGATTTTTATTTGCTTTTGTTTTCTTTTCCCCTTGAAAAGTACTTGGAAAGTACTTGTCTTCAGAGTCAGGGCCCAGGGTTAAGGTAGGGTTAAGGTGTGGTCCGGCAGGTGCCCCCCCACACACACACGGACAGATGTGGCCAGACAGATGTGATCAGCTCTGTTTGAGGGATGAGGTAACAGCAGTTCAGAGCAGCCAAGTGGTGGGGGCAGGATTTGAACCCAGGTTCTGTTGACTCCAAAGCCCGTGCTCTTTCCCACCCTGCTTCCCCTAGACCTTAGGGGGCACTTTGGAAAGCCAAGAGCCATCTCTGGTACCTTGTTTAATCTAAAACTTACACTATAATGATGGAACAGCACAGTGTATCAACTCTTAAATACTTTTAATCATCAGATAGTTACAAAATTCACATACACCATTCCAAGAGGTCTGTAACTGCCTTCAGACGAACATGATTTAAGAAAAAAAATTTTTTTAAAAGAGAACTCACCTTTGGTTAGGTGTCTGGGCACTGCTGGTAATGGCGTCTTTTTCTGATGGTCATGAAGTGATGGGTGTTCCTTGGAGCTCATAGCTGATGAAATGAGGAAGGGGATGTGAATTGCCTTTATCTTCTGCATACCATTCCGCCGGGTGGCAATGTCACAAAAGACCACAGGTAATATTCTAGAACTCTTTCCAAAAGGAGAAAATAAAACCAGAGGCTGTCTCTCATTTCCAGGACCCTAAGAGGCACATTTTGCTCCCCTATTCCCACTCTGCTGTCAGCTTTCTGAAATAAAGTAGCAAGATTAGCAGGCTTTGCTGTACCAACTCCACAGCCTTGGAGCTCAGCCCCACAGCCTCAGGAAGGCTCCTTTTCAAGGTGGTGACCCTCACTGTCTCCAGCCTGGGCTCTGCCCTTGTTCATAGCCTTCAAAGTAGCCTGCCTCCTGGAACGGGGGTCAGTGGCAGGCTCACAGACAGGGCAGGACTACCGGATCTTCACTTGAGCCTTTGCAAGCTAAAGCAGTAAGTGTGACCAGGTTTTGCCTGCTTCTTCTTCTTATGGTTATTGTTTGCCTGGATAAAATGGACCAAAAAGATGATTTCTCTACTTGGGGGAAGAGGTGAGCTCCAGCCTGGGAGTTGCTTGCTGTTTATAGAAAATCTGCCAAGGAAGGTCTTGAATGAGGAGGGGTGGGGAGCCTGGACAGATGCTGTGACAGCGGCACTGTGATGGGAAGATAAAGAGACTCTGCCCCTTCTGGGGCACACGAAGGCCTGAAGGACCCTGGCGCAGTGGGCGGAACGTACAGTGCACGAGGGGGCGGGGTCCGTGGGGGAACGCCCAGGACTTAGGCAGTGGGCGTGGCTGGAGAGAGGCGTGGCCTGGCTCCGTCTGGTGGAACCTCTTGAGCAAGGACCTGGTTTGGGGAGTTGAGGGAGAGTCTCAGGGAGACAGAGGCGGAAAGAGCACAGAGCTGGAAAAGGAACCAGGGGACATCACACAGGTTGAGGAACCAGACTCTACAAACCCCTGCTAGCAGAAGGGGCGTTTCACGCGCAGACGATTCCTTCCTCCTCTCCCTCCCTGATACTGCCTCTTGTGTGCTTCTAATCTCTTCCCTACCACAGCGGTCGAAAATGACCTTTTTTGGTTTGATTTGTGGTTCTTCATTGTATTGGTAGAAACGTGTATCGTACATCTGTACAGCCTCTTTAGAGGACCATTTGGCAATGTGTAGTGAACTTGAAAGTGCTCATCCTTTTTAGCCGAGAAGTACCGTTGCCAGAAATGTGACTCATGGGTAGGCTCACAAAGATTCAAATCATGAAATCGTTATGAGATGTTAACGATTTCCATTTCATAAATCACTGGGATGTATGTCCAGAGGGGATCACAGAAGCCTCATTGGTGAGGACAGAGCCCAGCACAGGGGCAGGCTCAGCCACTTCCCATCCAGGTGTGCGGTGAGGTCTTGCTACCGCGGCCACAGGGCGACTCGAGCCGCCCCCACCAAGGCGTTGGGCAGCGGAGCAGGGCGGAGACCCGCGCACATGAGATGGTCCCATGTATCAAAAAAAAAAAATTGCTTTTACACTCTGTTACCATATAGACAGGCCTATGGCTAAAACTTTTCTGGAAACTCATCTGTGGATACTTCTTGAGTGGGGGCAATACTTGGTAACTATTATTTCATATTTCATGACCTTCCATTGCATTTGCATTTTTTAACCACGCACATAGATTCACATGTATTATATTCGTATATAATACATTCTACTCACATGTATTTTGTTCAAATGGCCAAAGAAGATTATGATGTGGCTGTGGGAAATCCAGTGTTGAGGGTGTGAGGCCCCGGTGCCTGCTTCTGCAAGGCCATGGGACTTCTCTGGGGGCCACACTTCAGGCAGCAGTGAATTCTGGCATCACCTGAGAGCCATGGTGGCTGCAAGGACCCAACCTTCAATAGGGCAGGGTCGGGGCAAGAAGAGCTCGGGCAGTAATCTGTGGGTCCTGAGAAGTCTGTGGCTCTCCTGGAGGCCCTGGAACCTCAAAGCTCCAGAAAGTCCCACCTCTCCCCCCGATCATGCCTTGAGATATTTTGTCACCAGTATTGTTTTCTGTTCCACAGGAGATACCCTGGCTTCGACAGGACCATGCTGCAGAAGTGGCAGGTACAGTGACCCCCCCTCAGAGGGCTCTGGGTCCGAGGAATCCCTCTGGGGATGCAAACCAGCAAATAGCTGAGGTCCCAGTGATGAAGAGAGAAAGCCTGTGCATGAATCAGGAGGGATCTTGTTTTATTAATTTGCCCAAATGTCCCAAATATTGCCCTGAAAAGATTTCAGTGACTGGAGGTGATTCTTGAACATTGGACTCAGAGCTGGGAAGTGAGAGGGCATGTGTTTGTGTGTGTGTGTCTGTGTACATAAGCTCTGCGTGCACACACGCTCCATCCGTGAAGACGTACACGTATGTATGAATGAACACAGCTCAGGACTGCACAGCAATCACCACATCTTGTCCTGGGAAGTCACACGTGGCTCCCAGCCTGGAGAAGCTGACATTCAACCGTGGGTTGTCAGTGAAAGGAACGGACCCCAAGAGAGCCAGTCGTACAGATCACATGGCAGCAAGAAAGTAACTCTTGATCCCTCATGTCCCAAATCCACTTCCTTTCCCAAGGAGTGGGACAAGGAGAAGGGAGGCCACAGCATGCAGGTCCCATCAGAGATGGGGCTGTACAGGGCTGCTCATTCACCAGCTGGCCTTGGGGATTTTTCCCTGAATACAGTCCCTATCTCCATGTGTGATTGTACGTCTTCAAGCTGAGGCCCCTAAGAGCCAGTGTTATCCACACAGGCAGGGTCAGGGAAAAGAAGGTTCCTAAAGTCCCAGAGGAAGACAGATCATTCCACCTGTTGGTGAGAGCCTCTTTCCCTGTGACTGCAAGTCCCCTCAGCTGTGTGTTCAGTCATAAAGAGGTCAGCAGTAAGTTCGCCCAGCATTGGTGCTATTATTTTAATCAACTTTGGATCATCACACCCAACAGTTAACACAAAAGAGTGCTTGGACTGCCAAGTTGTGTTCGTGTGTGTGTGTGTGTGTGTGTGTGTTTTCCTGGCTGACTTTGCTTCCTAACTAGATTTGCTTCAGTTCATATTGGAATTAGTGGGCCTCCCTGAGATGGCCCGGCTCCATGCCAAGGTGCAGGGAACAGGGCAGGTAAGTGCAACCTGCTCTCACCTGCACAGCGAGGGTCACCTGCACGGGGCTGGGAGTTAGACCCCTGTGGTCCTTAGGAAGAGGCCAACTGTGTTTGGTTTATCCCCTCTTTGTCTCTTCTGGTAGAAAAGGGACATCAGCAATTTTGAGTATCTCATGCACCTCAACACCCTGGCCGGGAGGACCTACAATGACTACATGCAGTATCCAGTGTTCCCCTGGGTCCTGGCCGACTACACCTCACAGGTGCGTGTTCACAGGGATGCTGCGCAGCTGTCCTGGGGCTTTCTGATGACCAGAGCATCCATAATCATGTAGAGCCTCTCTGATGGGGTTCAGTTGTCCCGGGGCCTGCCTAGGCGCTGCTCTGGGCTTGGCCCCTCGCCTGGGAGGAGGCCTGTGGAGTCTGGCTGCCTTGGTTCCTGAACCCAGCCCCACATGACTAGGACGATAGATAACATGCACCCCAGAGGGCTTCCTGGCTTATTTGCTACCATGAAGGCAAGAGATACCCATCTGCTGAGATACTGCCATGGACAACACTGGTCCATCAAGAGAAGTGGGCCATGAAATTTGTTCTTAGAATCAACATGGAGAGAGAGGGAGAGAGAGAGAGAGAGGAGAGGAGGGTGAGAGAGAAGAGGAGAGAGCGAGAGAGACAGAGACACAGACCCAGCGAGAAGGTGCTCCTCCCTGGTAACCTGACTTCAGTGACTGAGATGGTGGTCTGTAGACTTCATCTCGGAGCTGGACCGAGACATGTAGCCACAGGGGAGGCTGATGGCAAGACCAGATCATCTGCTCTTTGGACCTCTGTCCCTGGACCTCAGCAGGCAGGGGAGGAAGGGATAGAAAAATGACTCAGCTAGACCGAGGTGAGGTTACTGGGGGACGACCAAGCTGTAGAGCTGTGTCCTGACCACCTGAACTCTGGCCATCGGGAGGTGTCTTGGGCAGTGAAGGTAAAGGGCAAAGTGTGGCCGGGTCCCGGTTCGGATCAGCCCCGGCCAGTCCTGCCTCGGGCTGTTCACATGGCTGATCCCTAGAATTTGGAGAGAAGCCTCAGCCTTTGGTGACCTCCCATCCCCACTTAGGACATGTAGCACAGCAAACCTTTTCTCACCAGCCACATGTTGCTTCTTACTGCACTAACCATCATCTGAGGCCGAGTTATTTCAAAACCGAAACTTACCAATCCCAGCTTTAACTCACAGTGTGGCAAAGCGGTGGCTCACCAGTCTCTTTTGTCTAGCCCATACTCTGTATTAAAATTTGATCACTTACCAGCGTTTAGAAACTCTGAGATTTCTCCTTAAAAGCTGGATTTCCAGTATCTTTTGGAGGAATAGGAGATCTGGCAACTCTGAAGCCCCATTCTGCCCTGGCAGAGTTGGTTGTAGCTGACTGTGGGTCTCCATGGGGGCCGCCACTCATGGGGGTCTCAGGCCCACCTGATTCACTTCTGTCCCTGCCTGGCTTCGGCAGGTGTGAGACGGTGGGAGGCCCTGCCTCCCCAGCAAAGCTGTGGTGATTCATTGCTAGTGAAAAGGAAGAGAGGTGTAAAGAAACACCTCCTTTCCGGGGAGTTCGTGGCTCCCCTGCTAATACGCAGAACATCTCCGCTAATAAAACATCTTCGAGGACACCCAGCCTTGAAAGCTCCACGTGCCTCCACTGTCGTGTATCCCAAGGGCAGGGGATGGGGCACCAGTGCTGTTTTCATTGCCTGGAAGGGAGTGCGCCTCCAGAAACATGAGGTCTTTCCTCCCCAATCAAATGACTTCTAATTTCCTGTAAAATCAGTTTGATTCTAAGCAAGGACCCTGAACTGCTCCGTGAGGGCCGGAGCCAAGTGCTCCCTGACAACAGGAACCCTTCTCAACATCTCTTGTGTAACCAGTGGCGATGTTCTGATGTGGGTCAACTTGGCACAGTTCAGTGTGAACTCAATCTTCCCCTCCTCTTATTTTCCATCTCTCCCCTATTAAGTCTTTGTGGATCACTGGCTGCGAGGCTGTAAAACCCTAGCAGGCCCGCTAATCACCAGAGGGGGGTCAGACCAAACGACAGTAAACCGATAAAGAGAACCATAAAACTAAAGAGCGTGGCTCCTGAAGTCTCGCTGGGGCACAAGGGGGTCCTGGGGAGTTAACTCCAGCTGCACATCTGCCTTCTAGACATTGAACTTGACGAATCCCAAGACTTTCCGGGATCTTTCGAAGCCCATGGGGGCTCAGACCAAGGAAAGGAAGCTGAAATTCATCCAGAGGTTTAAAGAAGTTGAGAAGACTGAAGGTGGGTAGACACCAGCTTGATTTATTTCCTGCGTTGCTTGTCATCCGAATGCCTTGAGGTGAGAGTTGACAACAATTTAGGCGGTCACCTAGGTGACAGACAATGACATCTGAATAGAGAACTCTCTGATTCAGTGGTCTGCACCCTGGCTGCATGTGCGAATCACCTGGGGAGCTCATTAAAAAATACTGATGCCCAGGCCCCACCTCTAGAAATTCTGATTTAACTTAAGTCTGTGCTAGGGTGTGGATCAGGTGATTCCAACGTGCAGTCGGGACTGAGAACTACGGTGCTAAGAGCTAACACTTCCACTCCCAGAGGCAGGCAAAGGCCGGGAAGTGACATCCGTTTATTACTTACTGTGCAGCAGGTGCAGGCCCGGCCGCGATCGTAAATACAGTGGTCGTTTTCAAAGAGGAGGACACTGGAACTCAGAGTTTAAGCCGCTCACTCAGGATCATGGCCTCCAAGTGGCAGAACCTGCGTTTGTCCAGCTCTAGAACCTGTTCACCAGCACATCACCTGGACAGCTGTCCCCACATTCTCATGCCCCCTATACTGTAACTGCCTTATTCCTTTAGGTCTATTCAGTTCTTAAACTTCAATGAATATATTTTAAAGACAATTTTCTATCGTGTATTTGACGCCAGCTCTACTGGTTTTCTCAAACACTTTGAAATAAACAGAACTAGTAAAATAAGGAATGTCCACCCATGAACCATGAAAGCTTATCTTGAGAAACAGAAGCAGCACACCTTGCGAAGGCTCCCTCAGCCCCGAGGCCCTGCCTTTGGTGAACAGGTTCTCGGCACACAGTCCCTGGGAGCCTCCTGGCCCCCACCTGGGACCCCTGTTTTGCATGGGGCTGGGGGAGGTGGGAGAAGGTGGGAGGAGTGGGCAGGCCTCCTTACCCTGATTATTACCTCCTGTGGCTGGAGTTCAAGCTGCTGTTTTTTGGTTTAAGCTAATTTAAGGCAATCAGGACTGCATCATAGCATCCCAGAAGGCCTGAGCCAGACGAAACAGGTGTGCTGCCAACCTACTGGGTTGGCTTGAGGTCCCTCACCTGACCCCAGAGGCTGTTCCTCTGGCTCCACCAGGCTCTGCCTTCCAGAGAGACAGGGCAGAGGGACATCAGGTCTCCCCAGCTGTGTCCCACACAGGACCCACTTGGGTACCATTCTCTCCCACACCAACCCGGCATTGGAGCCACACACAGTGAGTTTGCGCCCTTACACAAGTACATCCAACAACCTCCCCAAACAACTCTGATTTAGAGAACTCCCGCATGGCACTAGGGAAGGCTTAGGGCTAGAGGTGGGCCTGGCAGTGGGATGGGTGAGCGGCCGTTTAGGGGAGATGTCCGGGGCCTCTGCCGACTGTGCCTTCAGCCGGCTCTGCCACTCACTGATGGTGGGAGCACGGCACAGTGTCCTCAAGGGCACCCTCGCTGTTACTCTGCTGGGCCGGTCTGGCCAGGGCACTGCTTCTGACTCGACGATCCAGCTCTGCCACCCCTGGATGGAGCAAATTGGAGATATTTATGCCTCTCTAGTCTTGGTCCCTCTGGGACTGAAGACACAATGTTCTCACTCATCCTGGGGATTGGGGGGAGTGTCCCCAAGTTAACAAGCCTCTGCCTCTCACACAGGTACTTTTATTCTAAGCGAGAACAGAAGGAGACAGTGCTGCTGGTGGGACTGGATCACCTTGGGGCTCTCTAGGTCCCGCTTAAGTCAGAAAAGCAGAGCTCCGTCCCCCGAGTGGATCCTCAGCAGATCCTTCCCGGAGCCTGGCTCTGTCTGTGTGCCTGAGGGCACCCCACTGGGGACTTGCAGCTGAGGGTCTCGAATGTGCTTGCCACCGCTGGTGGCTGGTGGCCAAATTACACTGACTTCTGTGAACAGAACATCAAGGCTCCAGCACCAGCAGGGCTCGCACCTGTGGGTCTGCCGCCTGCCCCAGCACAGGTGCGGATGCCTCCCCACACGTGTCCTTTCGTTGCAGGAGACATGACTGTCCAGTGCCACTACTGCACCCACTACTCCTCGGCCATCATTGTCGCCTCCTACCTGGTCCGGATGCCGCCCTTCACCCAGGCCTTCTGCTCTCTGCAGGTGAGCACGCCCACTCCCCTGCATGTGTGTGTGCACACACAGACAGCTCTGTCTCTCAGTCTAAGAGCTCGGCTTGGACCAGGTGGGGACCCCACTGCCAGAAATCCAGTCTGGAGGCCAGGATTCCCACTGGACGCTGGCTCCAGGATGCCAAGCCATCCAGATGAGGGCGGATGCTCTTCCTCAGATACACCTCTATATGTGCCCAAAAGTCTTGCAGAAAGACTCTAAAATATAAGGAATGAGAGATATGGGGAAAAAATACTTAGCATGAATAGGTTTTAGTGGAAAAAGGAAAAACAGGAAGCTTGAAGACTTCCTTGAAGGTGGGTCAAAAATTAGAAAAATAAAGACAAAGAAGGAAGAAAGAGAATACCACTGTGACATCAGAATGCGTAAAGCGATGCTCAGTACAAGCCGGAAGGCCTAAAAGGACAAACAAAATATTTAAATACTGAAATGAACAGCCAAATTCGAGAAAGAAACTAACCAGTTTGCCCACCCATAAACTAACAGACCATCACACCAGCTTAGGGTCTCCAGGTTTCACAAATAAAAATACAGGATGTCCAGGTAGATCTGAATTTCAGATGAACGGTGATTTATATTTATCTGAAATTCAGATCTAGCCGGGCATCCTGTATTTTACCTGGCAGCCCAGTACAAGCTGGCAGTAGGCAAGCCTGACTCTGAGTGGATGGTGGTGTCCAAGACACGTGGGTTTCCTGGGACAGGGTCCCTCGTGGGCAGCTGGGGAGTTTTTTTCTCTCTTCCCTTCTGACTCCATCACTGGGATCCTGTTTCAAGGTTATCCCGGGACACAGGCTTTGACTGGGGAGAGCCATTGGGTATCCTAGCAGCAGACAGCTGCCTCAGCCAACTCCAAAGCGAACACACAGCAGGGCCCAAGTTTAGGGCCCTTCCTGATCCAGGCCTTGCAAGGGTCCTTCGGAAAGGAAGGCTGTGATGGGTAACAGACTGCCGAACATACACGGACTCACTCTGACAGCCAAGTTTCACCAGTGGAAAAGCATGCTTGTCCCAGGAACTGTGTGTTTTGAAGTGACTTCATCAGCAAGATCACTCTTTGTGGGCACTCAGATGAGCTTGACCCCGAGAGACGAAAAGCCACCCTAGGTCGGCATCAAAGCCCGCCCACTCCTGGGCCCTGGGCGGGAACGGGTAGGCAAGGTCAAGGCGCTTTCTCCGGTTTGGAGCAAAAGCCCTCCTGTCTTCTGTGTCCTGGCACACTTCTCACTCCTGGAAGGCACCGATCGTCTAGACATTGTATAACTCCTCTCCCTGGAAATTCACTCAAAAATAACAAGTGTGCTTCCCCTGAGCCTTTCTCAGGCAACAAGCATTTTAAGTAAGTTTGGTTTGGAGAACAAACAGCCCTGGAGCTGTACCCGATGCCAGGAATCCCCTCCAGCGGTTCCTCAGCCATCTACAAGAAGGATGATTCCCGCTGGCGGTGATGCTGAGGCATCCCAGGACGGCCCTCCACCCAGGGAGTGCTGGTGCTTCACAAGCTCCCCCTTGGCCCTCAGTCCCACGTGTTACTGCCTCACCTCGGCCTGTTATGAAGGGTCTTCTCACACTGGGAGGAGGGAGATGGAAGTAGAAGCAGTGTCAACTGTGAGCTTTACGTCCCATCTGATCTCATCCGAGCAGGTCTGGACTTGTGCAAGCTGCTTCTCTTTGCCTTAACCTAATTCAAGACAGTCTGGACTGCAGCACAGCATCCCAAAAGGCCTGAGCCAGGTGGAGCAGGTGTGCTGCCAACCTACTGGGTTAAGGCCACTTGGAAGCTAGTCGTAACAGGTCTGAGCTTATGTTAGCTGGAATCGGTCCATTGGTGACCAGCCCAAACTGGTTGAGATAGTCTAAACCAGTGTGAGATGATCAGAGGCGATTTTCTCTGCTTTGGGGGGTGGCACAAAGGCAGTTGTATTAGCTTGAGGTCTTTTGACTCCCATGTTGAAGTCTGATGTGACTCCTAGTTATTCGGGTTCCAGTCTATCTATGGCACATTGGCCCATCCGAGTTGCAGTCTCCACAATACTTCTGAATTGGCTTCCCCTTCCTTCTTTTAACTGCCTCTTCTAGTGTCACAGCTGGTCCAAGCCTTTGGAACCAGGAGAACCAACAGTCTCCTGCTTTGTCCTTACAATAAAAGATGAATTGTAGCTCCCAAGGGGGTGAGCACAGAGCCTCTATCTGGGGGAGTATGCTTGGCTCCCCTGTGGGAGCCTTGGGATCTTTGCTTCACCCTTGTTGGTGACAAGGAAAGGCTCCTCACTGCATTCTTAGCAGCCCGAGGCTTCCAGCCCCCAGCCCCAGCATGGACCATGAAGTAGGGGAGACGAAGAGAAGGGGAGAGGCACAGAATCTGGGCAGCGGGGCCCTTTTCACTTATCCGGGAGCAGAGAAGTGAGATTGGCTTGTATTTCCAGAGCAGGTGTACAACCAAGAGTCAGCTTAAGAAAGTGCATGCTCTTCTGTTCTGCATTAAGCAGACTCTGCCTCTGGCCTGTTATGGGAATAAGCCAGAGGGATGTGCTTGCTCGATGACTTGGCCAGGGAGGGCTTCGATGCAGAGAGCTGGTGCCTGTGCGGGGCACCCCTTGTGTTGTGATGGAAGGTGGGTACAGCGTTCCTTGGGCAGTGGCCTGCCCTCTAGGCACGGTGCAGAGGGATGTGGGCAGCCTAAGAACTGCAGTGTGGCATATTCTGATTCCTGGGCATAAGCTTTCCTTTATTCTCTTCACATTCTTATGAAGTTCGGGCTGGTCTTAGAATTGATGTCTACCTCTGCTGTTGCTGTCTCTGCTTTTCTGCCCCAAACCTGCCGTTACTATGATAGACTCTTACCATCCAGAAAATATGATATATGGGCAGTGTGACCCAGGCACAAGTCGGCTATGTGCCCTGTTATTCCGACTTCCTTGGGGTGTGGGACTACTGTTGACCAGAGCTGGGGGCTGGCCTCCCAGGATGCTGTAATTCTCAGGAGTCTCACCTACCGGGAGCCGGTGTCTGGGAGCCTTCCTACAGCTGAGCAGCCGGGAAGCCACCCCGCTGCTGGGGCCAGGCCCCCAGTTCTGCCCTGTCACGAGCGCCCATTGCTTTCAGGCCTGAGCTCAGACCCAGCCTGGGGGTTGGGGAGGGGAGGGCAGAGCAAGGCAGCCAGCTTCCCAGTGAGGGCACAGTGGCAGTGCCACTGCCACCGCTGCTGCATTTAATAAGGAACTGAAATCAAGTGCTGTGTTAATTAAGTCACAGCCCGTGTGAAGTCGGCCGTTACCAGCGGTGGGGAAGGGTTTTCTGAACCACCTGAGGTGAGATGGCTGGTTTTGCATACAACGTATGCTAACTGCGGAGAGAACCAAGGGCCGTGGGTAGCACTTGGCCCAGGCTGATCAGCTGGGGGCTGGGTGGGTGCCAGCCCGGTCCGGGTGGAGTTGGGTCCGCACTACAGGTGTAATTGTTACTGCGCTGACTCAGTGGGGAGTAAGAAAAGGCCCAGGTGATAGAGTCAGGCAGACCTGGGACGAAGTCCTGGCTCTAGAACTTTCTAACTGGTAGTGCTGAATACCTGAGCCTCCGTTCCTCCTCCTTTAAAGTAACCCGACTCGGGCTGATGGGGGCAAAGTGAGATTCATCATGAGAACTGTTTGCTGCTTTTGAGGGTTCCGTACGTGTGCACTCTCCTCCCCTTCAGAGCAGGCAGCACATTGTATGTGGGTTTTATTTGAGTAAAAGACCATATCCTACAGGAAGGAAAGCTAACGACTAGTCTGGGTCAGCCCGTCCTCAGTGGAGAGGGAGACTGAGGAGGCAGCTGAACTGGTACCTGGGCTTCCCAAGTCCATGTCGGAGCCGGAGGAAGCCGCGTTGGCCCCTTGACTCCTTTGGTGGTGGTGTTGCCTAACGACCGCCCGGACAATGCTCTCGCTGCTTCCCTCCTGCCCTGTCCCAGGACCCACCTCACTTCCCCTCGTACCTCCACTTCCATGTCTAATAACTTCCAAATCCTTCTTTTTATTTTTTTGAACCCATGGTTACCTTCCGCATGGATGCTGGGATTCGGGCCCAAGCCCATGATTGCTCCCGAGTTCCCGGTGTGTGAAAGGGAGGGAGCCGGGCTCTTGTGGTACCTCTTCCCGTGTTCCTGGCCTGCGACGCATCACACACGTACACATTCACACTCACCCACACTCTCTCACATCCACAATTTGCAGAGCAGGGCATGGGAAATTAAAGGGACTAAGAGACCCTGCCTCCCTGCCCCCAGGTCCTCTTGGTTCTAAAGCTAAGGCGCTTTCCACTCACTCTGCACGTGGCCTCTTTGACGGACAAGCGCCAGCCGCTTAGGCCAACTGATGTACCAACAAGGTCCTGTAAGTGAACTGTTTACCTGGGGTGCTTTTAAATTCCTGGAAAGGTTATCTGCAATGAGACAGGATCATCCCCCTGCTCATAAAACCAGTCCCGCAGTTTGGATGTGGTGGGTTGATTTGGGTCAGACCCACTGGAGGGAAGAATAGACGTTCTAGCACACGTTATCAGAACAGCTGTGTGTTAAGTTTCTTGCAGCCCATGCAGTTACTGGACTTCCTGGGGGTGCGGGTCAGGAACTGAACAGGCTTTTTCCAGCATAGCTTCCCTTCCATGTTGGAGAGGGGTTAATGAGTGTTGCCACTGGAATGTCTACCCAGGGCACAGGTGCGCGTAGACGCCGTGTCTTCATGCAAAAGGAATGGTGCCTTCCATGTATACGCTCCTTTCAAGGGCATTTCCGATTTTAATTGCTGGACCATAATTGTGAACTTTCCTCTGATTTTAACTTCTGTCAGTGTTCAGCAACAGTCCTTGTCGGCTACATCTGCTTTCATTATTTTGCTTTTAATTTTGATTCCTCTCTTAGTAAAATTGAGCACCTCTTAAAGCGTTTTTCTTGAGGAAAGATGTCCAGGGTTATATTATTTCTGAATGTTCAGAATGTCTTTCTGGTGTCGTTACATATGAGTGATGTCAGCTAGCCATCAAATCCAAAGACTGTAACCTTTTGCCTCAGAAACGTCCAGACTGAGAGGCCTCGTCTTCCAGCTTTAACATCACCTGGGAAACATCTTCTGCCTTGTTGGCAAAGGAACAAGGTGGTTCCTTTGTTCATAATAATAGCCTTGCTATTAGTTCTCTGTCTGTTTGAATACACAGAGAATTCATTATTCTTGATATTCAAGAGTGTCTGCAGAACAGATTTAGGAGCAGATATCAGTGCAGTAATTTTCTCTTATCACTTCATCCAATCTCCAGACTTAATTTGATTGTCGCTTTCTTTCGTTTTGGACTTTCTTTATGGGGATGCTCTGGGAACCTAGATTGTGTTTCTCTCCCTCTCTCTTCCTTCCGTCTCCTCTTCCTTTTCTCCTTCCTTCTCTCCCCGAGAGTTAAGTCCTGGTGGGACTCCTTGCTGGCAGCCCCCGGAGTTTGTGTCCCCCACTGATTTACGATACCAGTAACAAAGCAGCTCCGCTTTCCCTTCTAGGGAATTTGGCGTTTCTTGTGTATTGCAGAAGTGAGAAAACCCATTCATTTTGAAACAAATGTATGCAAATACATTTATTAATCTAGGAAATCGGAAAATCAGTTATTGCTTCCTTTATAAATAATACAGGCTTAAGTTTTAAAGATATTACTTTTCCTAAAATGCATTAGACAGCTGTGAAAAAAATAACATTTTTCTTTGTGGTAATATCTTTAACCAGATTTGTAGCACTAACAATATTTCCTATGTATATATTATTTTTATTTAATACAGGTAATCTTTTTATTACCAAATCATATTGTTTCTCAGGAGATTACCATCAGCACTCATAAAAGCTGCAGAAGGAAAATAGGACGACGAGGAGGCATCAATCTCCCGCGGATATAAGACTCAGGCTGCAAATTAAATACGCGAAACTCTTAATACATTTCAACGAGTGACTTGTTAGGGGCAGATTTATTTAAAAACACTCTCCCCACATTTTTTTTCCATTGCAATTTGAACCTAAGCGTGGGCGTCATCCCCTAATTTAAGCCAAGAGCAAAGTGATCTTGGAGGAGAGCCACCTCTTTAAGCTGCTTATGTGCTGTGTTTGGTTGTGACCCCAGGGGAGTCCCCAACCCTGTGCAGAGAATGACTCACGGGTCTCCCTGGCTCCTCACATCTGACTCTGAAAATTGACCAGCCTGTCAGGATGCCCAGGTGTGTGGCGAGTTCTCCCTTCTCAGAAAGAGCAGAGTCCCTTGGCCACACACAGTAGATCATTTATACGAGGCCCAGGGATTCCCCTGGGTAACTGACACTAGTTCGAAGCATGCCCTTTAAAGTTATATCCGTAGGTTTTTACCCCAGTTCTGCCATCCATTGCTTTGGGAAAATCAATGAACTTTGAGGAGCCTCAGTGTTCTGCCCTGCCAAATGGAAGTACCAGTTCCTTCCTGATGCACCTGCTGTGAGGACTACGAGAGGGCATCTCTGTGTGTGTAAAATGCTAACGCATTCATTATCCTTCATCTGCCGCTGCTGCTGCCTTAGGTAAATGTTGACGGGAGATCTCAGCCCAGCAGAGTGCAGGGAGCTGCTGGGGCAGAGGCAGACACTGGCATTCTGGTTCTACCCTTTGCTCTTGGGCCACACCTGCACTCTGCAGAGCTTGGCAGAAGGAAGACAAGTTCTGGCTGAACAAGACAGGCCCGGCTTCAATGGGGACAAGTGAAGTATTGAATCCCAGGGAGGAGGTGTCCCTTGAGTGTCGCTAAACTTCAGCAGACAGACCCAAATCCCAGTTTCAGAACTCTCTCCTGAAGTTCCTCTGCCCCCAACATCTTCAGTCCTCCGACTGGGACCTCTCTGCTCTTCCCAATGCCCACAATCACCTGAGGAATAAGGGGAGAGACAACTGAAGAGATCTGACCATTCAGATGAGAGGAGCGGAGAATCCAAGGGAAGAATTTGTGTTATGTCTAATGTGGTCCAGGCCCAGCTGCCAAGCTCGGGGCTGCATGGAAACACCTGTGGAAATAAATGGGCCTTGGAAACCAGGTGGGCGTGGTATGTGCTGCACCCCGAGCTGGTCTTGAGGGGCCAGCCTCCCATCCCTTAAAGCCTGGTGCGCCCCCAGCTCTCCATCCTCAGACCTGTCCTTGCTTGTCGAGGCTGCTGTGTTTGATGTTTCCAGGGCCCTGACCTGACCTGACCTGCTTTCCTCCACTGCTGCCCCTGGCCAAGGCCTCGTCCACTGCCACCTTCTCTGTCACCAGGCTGGCAGGCTCGCCAGGGGTCAACTTTTCCAGAAAATTTTCCTGCACGTGGAGTGTCTGACCCACTCTCTGTCCTGTCGTGGGTCCTTCGGGTCCTGTCTTTGCGCCTGATTCAGGGCCGGCCCTCAGCAAAAGTGGGGCATGATGAGATGAACCTTCTGAGCTGAACCTTGATTTCCAAACCAGGGAAACATCACTTCCTTTATTACGTGGGTCCTGCATCCTCCATGGCCGCTCACAGTACAGGGTCCCAGGAAGTGGGTGCGTGAAGAGATGCCTGAAGGAACCCGTGTGTGGACTGACCCGTGCACATATGTTGGGGAATGAATGGATGGTTCTTAAGGCAGAACCCGAGCCTCGGCGACAGAGAGGACAGGCCCACCCGGCGGTGCCTGTGCAGCCTGAATTCTCGCCGTATTCGGCTGATTGTCACCCCTTTATCTCTCAGGGTGGAAGCTTCGACGTGGCAGATAGAATGTTCCACAGCGTGAAGAACGCGTGGGAGTCGGCCTCCAGGGAGAACATGAGTGACGTCAGGGAGCTGGTCCCAGAGTTCTTCTACCTGCCCGACTTCCTGACCAACTGCAACGCCGTGGAGTTCGGTGAGTGCAGCCTGGGCGAGGCGGCGGGGGGTCTGGGCAGCGCCGGGCTCTTTCCTGCAGCTCGTGGGTTGTGACATCAGGATCTTTGCCGGATGACTAAACGCACAGGCCCTCACCAGACCAGTACAGTCGTTGTGAGTCCTCCACTGGGTAGGAGCTGAGGAAGGACACATCCCCAGGCTGCAGGACCACGGAGCTACCGTTCCACCCATGACCCTATCCCCAGGGGTCCCCAGGCCTCAGTCTGCAGTGAACTGGCAGCCAGGGGGTAGGAGTCCTTGCTGATAGCTAGGCTGGCACTGCCGTGCTGGATACCCGGGCAAGCCGCAGCCCCTCTCTGGCCCCATTTTCCTCCAGGTCCCACAAACGGGTTAAGTGGGATCCCATGAGCAGGACCCAGAGATGCTGCATCTCCCAGCACAGATTGCTGGGGTGTCCGCGGGCACTTGTCTGGGCATCCTTGGTGGCTCCTCCTCTTTCCTGCCTCCAGGACCCACCCCAGAGTGAGCCATGCCTTCCTACCTGCTGCTTTAGAGGAGGTCCGCTGGGGACTGCACCTTGGGGGCCTTGACGACACATATCAGGGCAACTTGTGGAGAAGGTGTGTGGTCAGAGCCCCCGCAGGGCTCGGCCCCCCCTACCCGGAGGTGGGGGTACGAATCCCCCACCCCGAGGAAGGCACTCACAAACCAACACTAGCGCACGCCTGGTGCCCTGGAGCTCCCCTTCCTCAGGGCACCCCTTCGTCCTCCAAACGGCACATGTGGGCCTGCACCTCGAGCCAGACCAGGTGTGGGCCCAGGGGAGCACTGTTGAGGAGATGCAGCCCCCGCCTCAGGCCCTCGCCTCTTGTGTGGCGGTTTGCAGACAGATGCCAGCGGGGCATTTAAAGCATGCCCGGGCCCAGGAGTCTGAGCCGTGGAACTTGGTGGCCTTGGCAGTGTTCAGATTCTCAGATGTTTCACATGCATCAGGGATATGAAAACCTGAAAATATAAAGGGCAGTTCCCAGCAGATGTGATGAGGCCCATGAAAGGAGTAAGTTGGGGGAGCTGGTGGAAGCTGAATGGAGGGGCTGCCAACTGGCCTGGGGCGAGGGGAGCGCTGGAGGGAGGTGGAGGCGGGCTCTCTGCAGAAGGGGAGGGGCCTAGCTGCATGCCAAGGACCGAGGTATCCCCAGGGAATTCAGGAAAGCAAGTGGCTATTAAGCACTTACTGTATGCAGGCACTTTTTAGGCACTGGGGTTTAATTGGGTGTCCTGAGGCGGATTGCCCTGAAGGTGTTTATACTCTGTGGGCACAGGGATAGAACATACAGACAAATCAGTGAAGTACTGTCTGATTAGATAGGTCCTATAAGGAAAGAAAGTAGGAAAATGGTTCGAGGTGACTCAGAGGCCCTGTGTCACTCTGGTCCTCAGGAAGGACCCACCTGAGGAGGTGGCAGGTGAGCTGAGACTGCGTGGTGAGAAGGGCCAGGCCAGCCCTGCGGGCCGGGGAGGGAGAAGTGCTTTCACTCCAGTTGCACCGGGAGGGCTCTGGGGGGTTTCAGCAAGACTACGGCTAACTTTTATTGAGCAACCATCATAGACCTGGAACTAGTGTAGGCACCTTATGTGTATTTTCTCTTTTAACCCTTATACTAGCCCTGCAAGGCTGCAGGTAGGAAAGGTGACTCCCAAAGAGGCTAAGCAACTTGCTCAAGGTTGTGCAGCTCATAGAAGGGAGAAAGACTCAGGCTGGGAGCCAGACTCCTCTTCTTAATGTCTGGAGGAGCTCCCTCTGAAAACCTGCTGTCTTCACTTTAAAAATGGAGAGTAAAGGCATAAATCATAGAGCTGAATGAAGATTCAGTAAGACGTTGTGTGCCCAGCACCTACCTAGCACAGCGCCCTGGCATGGAGTGAGGTGCTCAGCATCCCCGGTAGTTGTCATGGTTACTGTTATCATTTCCTTATTGTTTGGGCACCATGTACAAGCCCCCAGATGAAGACACATAGAGTAGAGGGGAGGAAGATGTACAGACAATGATGACACTGTAGTCATTTTATGCGACTTGTGAATCAAGCACGGACACTGCCTGGGAAGCAAGGAGGGCCTTGTGGAGGGTGGAAGGGTTAGTGCCCAAATAGGAATATTCCAGGCGGATCCGGTGGGCTCACTTCTAACAGAGGAGGCAGGAAGCAGTATGGCCTTGGCAGGAACTGGCGAACGTGGACAGCACAGTCTTTATACCCCCTGGTTCCTAGTCCAGTGTGGGTTCCCATTTATCCCAAACGCTGCCCTTTCTCACCCCATTCAGGCCGTATGCAGGACGGGACAGCGCTGGGGGACGTGCAGCTCCCTCCCTGGGCTGATGGGGACCCTCGGAAGTTCATCAGCCTGCACAGACAGGTGAGCTGAGTGGGGTCATGGCTGCGTCCCGGTGTCCTGAATGAGGACCTCAGTATGCCCTCAGTGTCCACAGACGCTTTCTGTCCAAGCCGAGGGCTACTGATGGGCACTTCTAAGGCCCTTATATCTGGGGAGCGTTGGGTTGGCAGGAAAAGGCTTGGGTTCTGGGCTCTTTTAAGAGCTCCGTTAGGCTTTCTTGTATCGCTTTGTTGTGGGACTCGCAGGGGGAAGCAAATCCATATTCTTGTTGGATGGAGGGCAAGTCAGTGTCTTTATTCACCCCTACAGTCAAGGCCATACTGCCCAGTATAGATCAGAGAGGGGCTGGAGGCCCAAGGAGCTGGCCGTGGCCAAAGGGTTTTCCAAGACTAGGGAGGACTTGGCTGATAAGCCCCAGGATCTGGCTACCTTTACCCAGAGAGGCTGATTGGGTAGAGGCCAGATGCCATTTGGGGATACATACCCTGGATCAGATACCTGGGTTAGCATAAACACACGAAAATGTGTTCAACATTATTAGTAACCAGGGAAACATACATTAAAACCATGAGATGCTACTACACACTCACAAGAATGGCTAACATTTAAAAGACTGGTAAAATCAAGAGTCAGCAAGGCTGTGGAGTGGCCAGAATTCATCCTGCACTGCTGGTGGGAAAAAAAAAATTAGTACAACCACTTTGGAAAATAGCTTGGTCGTTTCTTAGAAAGTTGAAGATGCATTTGCCGTATCGCCCAGGAATTCCACTTGTAGGTACGCACCCAAGAGAAATAAAAATATGTCCACAGAAAAAAAGTGTGTACATAAATATTTATCACTGCTATTTATACCAGTCAAAAACCAAAAACACCCCCACATGACTGTCAACTTGTAAATGGATGAACAAATGATACAGCCACACAATGATACTCCATTGCTATTACTTCACAATAAAAAGAAACAAATTTTGGATACACGAAGCAACATGGATGAATCTCAAAGGCATTGTCCTAAGCAAAAGAAGCCAAAACACAAAGCTACGCACTATGGGATTCTATTTTGTGACATGTTGGAAAAGATAAACTATGGGGACAGAAAGCAGATCAGGGGTTACTAAAGTCTGGAGTAGGAGGTAAGCAGAAAGGAGTGTAAGAGAACTTTTTGAATGGATGTAAATATTCTGTGTCTTGATTATGGTGATGACTGACACGACCACATGCGTTTTTCAGGACACATTAAACTATATGTTTAGGGCAAATTCTATTATACATAAACTGTACCTAAAAAAAAAGTGGGACAGGCCTGACTAGTAATAATGAAGCTGTGTGCTTTCCTCTGTCTGTCGTTGGCGAGGAGAAAGTTCTCCTGGGGTTTAGCCCTGCCGCTGGAAATTCGGTGACAGCAGGCATCACACCTCCTAAGGCTTTATGCAGGTGTAGGCTTCTCAAAGCCATTTTGGCCACGTGCCTCAGAAAATTAACCTGACGGAGGTGACCTGAGTTTCCCAAGCCCAGGTGTAATTCTGCACGTCCCCCCAGAAGATCAATAAGGGGAACCCAGACAATTCCAAATGATCGTCTGTGGGTTCTGGAGACTAAGGTTTGGAGTTGGGCTCTGCTCAGCAGAAACGGGTGAACTGGGACATCCCAACACTGGTCCACATTTCCTCTGGTTCAGAGTTATTTTATGAACTGGATGGGCTGGTCAGACCCATTTTGCCACTAGCTGAAGGCAGAAATTAGGTGGTCCTTCAATGGACGGTGTTTCTGCCCGCTTAGTGCGTATCCAGCCCAGGGAGGCATCACTCATTTCTCCTGTGCGGAGCTGCATCCTGAACCACATACCCACTCCTGATCGGGGCAGAGGGCCCATGAGTCTGTGGGAGGCCTGCGTTTTCATGCTTTCATGCTTGGGTTTTTGTTCCAGGCTTTGGAAAGTGACTTTGTTAGTGCCAACCTCCACCACTGGATAGACCTCATTTTTGGCTACAAGCAGCAGGGGTCAGCCGCAGTGGAGGCTGTTAACACCTTCCACCCCTACTTCTACGGTGACAGAATGGACCTCAGCAGCATCAGTGACCCCCTGATCAGGAACACCATCCTGGGGTTTGTCAGCAACTTTGGGCAGGTGCCCAAGCAGGTACGGCATGCTATGTCCTTTGTCTTGCTTTCTCAAACGAGTGTGTGCAGGGTGAGCTGGGATGGGAGAGAGAGCGAGGAGCAGAGAGGCCTGGAGAACCAAAATGGTCCACATCATCTCCCTATGCCTTCAGTATCAGGGCTTATCCCTCCATCACCGTCTGATGTTGATGGAGGTGAAGACATCGTTAGTGACAGTGATGAAGGATAACATCATTATCATTATCTGTGACATGTGTGATAGACACTATGGTAAATCCACAGAATTTAATTCTTTATATATGGGTCTACCCTCTAGGGTTGTTGGAAAGATCCAATGAGTTAAGACATCAAGTGCTTGAAATATGATAAGCACCCAAGAAATGTTAATTATGCATGTGATGACCTTACTGAATTCTCTCATAAGCTCTGGGTATAGGAATTTTTCTTCTACAGATCAGAAAACTAAGGCTCTGAGGGTCTAAATAATAACTTGCCTATAGTTGCACCACTGGCAGGCGGCAGCGGTAGAGCTCCCACCCCATCTGGCTGGCTCCAAAGCCTACACCATATTGGCACCAGCGTGAGAGCATCCAAGTCCTGCCGGTGCCCCTGGTGAAATGCAGGGGCCTTATGCCAGCCTTTTGCTCCGCTGGCTCCGTTTCCGTCCACGTAGTCACATGGCAATGTGAGACTGTCCATTCATGTCCCCGTCCTGATGACGGTATACAAGAGAGTTAGGCGCTTATCTAACTGATCCCTGCCCTGTTGATTCTCAGACTTCCGTTCGGAGTAGAGATGTTTTATCCCTGAGCACAGCCATCTGGGTGCAGTAGCGTGGCCCCACCCAGGAGGCACGCTAGGAAATGAGTGCATAGACCCAGCCAACTCCTGGACCATCCTGGGGAGTGGCTCTCTCCACGTGTAACCACGTGTAACGAGGCTTGGGTGGGCTCACCTAATAATATCTCTTCTGCCTGGTCTTACGTGACGTGCTCACGTTTGCTCAGCTTCTAGGTAGGGGAATGTGGAAGGGCCTGAGGGTGACTTGGAGAACAAACCACACATCCAAATAGGGGTTTGGCCAAGGAAGTCTTTGTAGAAAGGAGAGAATTTCAGGGAAGAAGCTTGGGTAGCAAAATGGTTTCATTTCTTTAATTTTTAAAAGAATTAATAATACAGATGAAACAGATGATTCAAAGTAGCAGCTTAAACCATCCAACTGTGTCCTGTATTATAGACTCAGTCCTTCCCCTTAAGCAAAAATATTTTCGCATCGATGGGATCATGGGGTGCACACAAGGTTAGATTCTGATATTACTTAACAAAATATCATAGGAGCTTGTAAAAAATATTTCTAAAAAATCATCAGGATTAGAATTCCCCAAGCAGTCCCAGCCTGAAGACCAGACTAAAACACTTCTGGACCAGGCACCGTCCCCTCAAGGGGCCGCGCCTGCGAACGCCGCCACAGGGACCCAGCCTCGGTGCTTTCATTCTTCTGCTGTGCAAGGGAGAACATTCTTTACTTAATGCTCATTTAAAAATCATCGTTCTGATTGCTGTTTGTACCGCTCACCCGCCCAGCTTTACCAGATCTAGGGCTGTAACCGAACCAAGGCTGCTCTGAGCCTCCCGGGCTGCTGGCTGAGCCCAGCCGAGGCCAGCTCCCCACACCCGACTCCCCCATCATGGCGCCCAGCGCGTGTTTCCATCTGGGAGCAGAGGAATGTGCCCATGGCTGGAGAGAGCAGCCCGGTCAGGGAGGGGAGGGTGGAGGGCTGGGGCCGGCCCCAGCCGCGCTCTCTGGCCCAGCAGTAAGGATGCTGCCAGGCAGCCAGCCTCGCAGCTCATGCTTTGTCTGCTTGTGTGAAAAGTTTGGCATTCGGGGTGATTTGACAGTAGAGATCTAAGAAAAATGAAACTGAGAAAGGCGGCTAATGAGGCTTGTCTGTGCTCTTTGGAATACTTGAATGGATGCTCTTGAAGAATCGTGTGTTGATGCTCGGATGACGTGCCTGCAGAGAGTCTGTAAGAAGGAAAACAATGTGAGAAATAGCTCAAGCAAACAAGGAGACACGTGGTCTAGGGAGGAAAGAGGGCCATTCTGACCCTGTGCTGTGACAGGCAGCTCTCCCGGGAACAGGACTCCTCAGCGAGCTCATCCTTTTCTTGAGCAGCTTGGAGAAGAAGACAGAGCTGGCAACCAGGAGGGCTCTCTACCAGCCCTGCACTGTGACCCTGAGAATGTAGCTGCCCCTCTGAGCCCCAGGCCCCTCACCTGCATCCTCTAAAGGCTGAACCAGATGGTTCTGTTTATACTCATCTCGCTCAGGGGCAACCCCAGCCCTGGCAGCGCCCAGAGCAGAGGTGCAGCTGCGACTTCCCCAGGGATGACAACTCCTCTGTCCTTCTGTCCCTAACAACCTGTGTGGGGTGTATCTGTCCCCTTGCCTCTCCAGCTCTTTACTAAACCCCACCCGGCCAGGACCGCTGCCGGGAAGCCTTCCCCTGCAAAGGATGTCTCCACGCCTGCGAGCCTGCCTGGCCACCCACTGCCCTTTTTCTACTGCCTGCAGTCACTGAGGCCCTCCCAGGTCACAGTCAAAGGTGAGTACCTGACCCTGCTTTGTTCAGTGTCCTGTCCCGGAGTTGTTTCTTCAGTAACTGGCATTCCTCTGGAGGTCCAGGGGCACAGACCTGGGCAGGAGGTTGGGGTCTGACTCTGCATGGCTGTGTCTCCAGTCACAGCAGAAATCTGAGGAGGCCTGTGATCTGGGAGTGTCCGGGGCCACCTCTGTTACACCCTGACTTCTGAAGACCCATCCATCTGTCTCTCTGAGACACACACTCTTCTCTGTCTTTCATGTACACACACATACATGAACACACGTGTTCACACGCGCGCACACACACACCCCTCCTCACCTCCAAAGCCAGGTGAGGAAGCTTCCAGGTTTTGTAAAGGAGGGTGACATCTCCCATTCCTCTTCACCTGCAGTCACTGTCTCTCTTGAGCACCCGGGGTGGGGGGCTGGCGAGCACTAGCTAAAAGCATGCGCCCCAAGGCAGACGACCTGCCTGTGAGTCTCAGCCCTGCCTCCTAGAGGAGCTGTGTGTGTGTGTGTGTGTGTGTGAAGTCTAAAGTCCGTGTCACCTGGGGTGTGCACTGCTTTGGGGAAGTCTCATTATGTGGAATAACTTTCTGGTCCCAAGGAGTATAAGGTCAGGTTTTTCAGGGTTTTTCCTTTTGAAGTCCAAGCACAGTGTCCTTGACACCCCAGCCCTGCTAGATCCGGTGCCTGGGAGGGGCAGGAAGGGCCGAGCCGCACCCTCTCCCCGACAGCATCCCCTCAGCCCTGAAGACCTGCATGGCCACACACTTCACGTGTGCGCTAGGGCGGGGAGGGACCAGAGCCAGGGGCCCCGGCTGGGGCTGGGAAATAACGCAGCCCCCGGAGGAAGGCCCCTGACGAGGAGTCGCCCCTGCCCGGGCAGGCGCGTTTCCAGGGCTGCGTTGCCAGCGCGTGGCCCGGCGAAAGCGGGTGTGGCTCTTTGACGTGTAAGCTCCGCTTTACTGACTGGGGGGCAGATATGTACCTCTTCTCTCTAGGCTCGGAATCCCCCAAAGGGGCCATCGGCCACATCGTCCCCACGGAGAAGGCCATCCTGGCCGTGGAGACAAACAAGCTGCTGCTGCCTCCTCACTGGAGCAGGACCTTCAGCTGGGGCTTCGACGACTTCAGCTGCTGCCTGGGGAGCTACGGCTCGGACAAGGTGAGTGGTGCCGGGCGCAGGGTGGCCCCGGGGGCCTCGGCCTCCTCCTGGTTGGGGCAGAGGTGTTCAGGGGACCGGCAAGCCCAAGTCAGGCCCACACCCCACTTCCTCCTCGTGGCTGGACCCCTAGCCTGGGACTGAGAGGGTTTGGGCAGCTGTGCCAAGGGCCCTCGTGGACCAAGCTTCCCCCTACGTTACCGGAAATTGAACTTGTAAGTTAGTGGTGCACACTGTCACCTCCACAGTGGTCTCAGTGGCTGGCTGGTCACGTGGCTACATGGAGCCCGCCCGGACTGTCACTCAGTGTGGGTGGGAAGTCCTGGGGGCTTCTCCAGCCCTGGTCGTGGTACAGACTCAGAGGACACATCCTGAGCTTTCAGCTGGCCACCAGACCAAGCCATCCGATTTTTCATCCTGCAACCCTGCGTTTGGCCATCCTGTTAATTCTACCTGCTGGCTGTGTCCCCCAACCCCTGCCTCCTTTCCTACCCTCGCTGTCTCCCACCCTATCACGTGGCATGACTTCCCTGCCCACCCAGCTCCCTCGCCCTCCTAGGCTTCCCCCACTTCCTTCATGAGGCAGCCAGTGAAATGGGTCCCAGATGTCACCTCCTCCTGAAAGCTCCCCCCGGCTTCCAGAGGAGGTGACATCTGACCTCCCTGGGCTGAGTCACTGGCCTGTGTTCACTATACTCACAGGGTGTTTTTGCTGTGTCCCCACCGCCTCCTGCTGGCTTATTTCTCCCCCACTCTTTGGATGATGTCAGCTCCTTGGGGACAGGCCTAGATGGCCTGGATTTTGTCACCAGGGCCAGGCTCTTGAACAAGTAACAGTTCCCTCAGTTCCCACAGCACACAGGCCAGCCAGTAGCAGCGTCCAGACCTGCCTGCATCCTCTGTCACCCTGTCCCAGCTCCCTGCCCTGTGCCGGCCCTGGCACGGGCGCTTATCCCACTCACGTCCTGCAGATCCTGATGACGTTCGAAAACTTGGCCGTCTGGGGCCGCTGTCTGTGTGCCGTGTGCCCCTGCCCCACGATGATTGTCACCTCCGGGACCAGTGCCGTGGTGTGTGTGTGGGAGCTCAGCATGGCCAAAGGCCGCCCCACAGGCCTGCACCTCAAGCAGGTACGGGGCCTCGGGCAGGTGGGGTGGCTCGGGCAGGTGCAATGGCCTGGGCAGGTGGGGTGCCCTGGCATGTTCCAACTCCCTGACCACCGAAAGCCCCGCCTCCTCCCGGAGCAGAGAACACGGTGGGGCACTGAGGGCGGCAGGCAGCTCTGCATCATTCGAGGGCACCGTTCCCATGCCCTTGGGTGGACCTGACAAGCACACAGAGCCAGTGCGTCCATGGAGACCCACACCTCAGTGAGAGATGCTCACACATCAGGGGCAGTGAAATCGGGGTTTTGTTTGTTTGTTTTGCACTAGGGGACGTGTTTGAGCATTTGTCATGGGCACTTTTATGTAAATGGCCTCATTTTACTTCCTCAGCAGCCCTGTAAAGTAGGTCCCGTTATCGTCCCTCCTTTACTGGTGAAGAATCCAGTGCAAGGCTTTGTCCAGGCTCAGAGCCAGAAAAATGAAAGACTGTCTCAGAACAGGGGTGGCTGTGGCAGCAGCAGAGCGAGTGGAAGCCGGGGGCAGGGGACTCTCTCTGGCCCTACCTCACAAAGCACCGCCACGCAGGACAGTGAACAGAGTGGCACTGCTGCGTGCTTAAGACTGTCCCTTCCTTGTAATCTTGGAAAGCAGGCACTGTTATTCCCGCATTCAGATGAGGAAACTGAGCCTCAGAAAGGTCAGGTTTGCATTTTTAATCTAAGTTTGTCTAGCGCTCAACTTCATGCTTTCCCCTGCGTACACTTGAACTTGCCGGAGAATACCACTAGGGGACACGCCCAGCTCCACAATGCAGTTCGCTTTTATCTCTGGTCTTTAATTATCCGTATGGCCCCCAAATAACAAAACAAAGAACCAAACAGACAGAAAACATTAATCACACAAGGCCCACCACTGACAGGGTCTCCTAAACTGGGCACGTCTCACTGGAACTGACTCTGGGTTTCTCTAGTTGCTTTCTCAGTCCCTCAGGTCTCCTCAGAGCCTGCCCTTGTCCTCAGTGCCACCCCTAGCTCACGTGTGGTCTCCGGCGGGCGCTCCGTAAACGTGAGGTGAGGGAATAAAAGGGTCAGTGCCCAGGTTGCTGGTTAATCCTGCAGAAGCGGTGGCACCTGCTGAGAGGTGCTGTGCCAGTCAAGGGTCAAGGGCAGGCTGTCTTCAGCGGAACTCAGAGGAAGTCCTCCCCAGCCAGCCTGGAGTTCCTGGCTTTATCACGCCTTCACATTCCTGAGCTAAGCGAAGAGGCTGTGCACTGCCATTACCGGTGTGGAGCGCCCCCCTCTCCCAGGCATCACTCCGGGGACAGGGGAGATCCAGCCCAACCCCGAAGCTGCCTTGGGGCGCCAGGGAAATGATCCCCTCCCCACCACTGCTCCAAGGTCCTGTTTAGCGGTGAAGATGCACCATAAAAGCCCAGTATTGACAACATAAGACGTAATTTATCCTCCTCTCCTAGTTCTAAATCAAGAGGAAAAGTATGTGGAATCCCGCATGCTCTTACTTCCTAAGCAAAATAAAACACTTCGTCAGTTACCTACAGAGGCTGACACGGCCTTGGGGAGCCCCCACACCAGCAGCTGCTCAGAGAGGGGTGTCTGTCCTGTAGACAGAGAAGTTACCATTAAATAGCTTCATTAACAGGTTTTTTTTAAGTGTTTTATTTCTAAAGATGTTACAACATTGAAGATGAATTTCAAATTCATTTCAAAGTTGAACAATTCTCTATAATCCCTAGAAACGTTTTCAGTGTTGCATACTACCCTCCCCAGATTTTCATATTTACACCATTCTGATCATTGTGTAGATATGTTGATTCTGTTTGCATCCCACCTGTCAAGTTGTTTCTGCTTTTCTACAGTCTCTGTAATTTATATTTCAATTGTTCCATATTATTTCACCTCCATAAAATTACATTTCAATTGTTTTATGTCAATGCACCACAGTTTAATAAACCATTTCTTCTAAAACTAGACAATTATATTGCTTCCAAGCTTTAACCATTTTAAATCGTGCTGTGGAAAACATCTCGTAAAGATTGCTGTTTGCTTTTGATTAATTGTTTCCTTAAAATACATTTCAGGAAAGTTCTATGGTTTTCCAATGGCACCACAATTAATTAGGAGTACCCATTTCACCACAATATATCCAGAATGGGGAATTTTTTTCCAGATTTTTTAAAAATTTATTTTTTGCTACTTTAGTTAGATGTGATACACTGAAATTATTTCAGTTGGCCATGAAGAGAGGTATTATCCTGAGAAAACAGAAGAGCCAATGGAGAACGTTGAAAATTACATTCCTCGTTCATTTTTTTCCCAGGCCTTTCCAGATCGGGGGTGATGTCCCCGCCTCCCGGGCTGGTGGGTGGGGGGTGTCTGTGCGTGCGGGCTGCTGCCCTCACTCTCCAGAGCCTCCCCTGTGAAAGCAGCAGCCCGGCTCCAGGAATGGACAGCACACATAGGCCCTGGGCTCACAGCTTCTCCTGGAATCCCCAACGCTTGGGTCACCCGGCCAGCACTCTTTGGAGCTGTCCTGTCCCCTGTAATCAGAACATAGCCATCAGACTTAGTTTGTTCTGGGAAGACCACCAGAACGCTCCTGCCAAATCCTCTGCTTCCCTCTGTTCATTTAAACAGTCTCCGCTTACCTAAGAAGACCGCAGCCTTCTTCCGTGGGTCACACCTAGAGCCTTGCCAGCACCATCTGGTTGGTGCCATGTGCAGGCCCATGGCACACACATGGGAATCTGAGGCAGAACTTTTAATTGCTGTGACCAGGCCAAGTGACAGCTTTGAAAAATGATGCTCAGCCTCGTTGACCCAAATGAGTGAGTGATGACTGTCCTGAGAGAGCAAGTTTCCCACTAGGTAAGCCAGGGCAGTCACGCTTCAGAACGCCACCTCTGCAGTGCTCGGGCTGATTCCAGAGGACATGTGTGTGCATGCAAGCTCGCAGACCAGGCTTAGCCGGCAGCTTCTGGGACGGTTGTGATGGAAACCCCGCCGTTGCCAGCAGCAGTGGGCCTGGGAGTACCAGTGTGCCTGGCAGGCCTCCCCAGGCCCTCAGGAACATGTCCCAGGGGAGCAAGGCCTCTGGCCGGATCTCGACCTATAGCCATCTATATGCCAAACCGGACCCTGCACAGGCCAAACTGAGGACCAAAACCATGGCCCTGAGTCACCACCACACCCCCCGCCCCACTGTCCAGCCTCATGGCCAGACTGGATGTGAACCCAGATCCTTCGGACTTAAAAGAGTCACACAACTTTTTAACTATGACCTGACCTCCCTGCCTTGTTTCTAGTTTAGTTTCCAGGGGCACGTATGCTTCTGAGGCTCCCTTAATGTGATGCTCAAACTTGAGCGTGCGTGAAAATTCCCTGGGCGGCTTGTGAAAACCCAGGTTGTGGCCCCCAGCCCCAGAGTTTCTGACTCAGTAGGTCTGGGTGGGGCCCAAGAATTTAAATGGCTGGCAAGTTCCCAGATGATGCTTGTGCTGCTGGTTGGAAAACTGCACGTTGCAAATCTGTGCTGTTGCCGATTAATAGGGATTTGTGCTGCTTCATGAGGCCAGACAAACTTAGGAGAGTACAGAGCACAAGGATGCTCTCCCCAGCTGAGCCTCAACCCTAGAAAGGAGTGTTGCTGAGAGGCCAGGCGTGGACCCATGACTGTGCACACACGTGGACACACACACACACAAACACACCACAGGCTTTGGAATGACTGAATCACCCTGAATCTCTGTTTCCTCATCTGGAGCCCAACAGTAAAAGAGAGTGTGGAATATCTCCCCAGGGAGCTGGATTAAGGGTCCCTCTCGTAACCTGTGCTTCCGTGTCTGTCCCTAGGCCCTGTATGGACACACCCAGGCTGTCACATGCCTGGCAGCATCAGTCGCCTTCAACCTCCTGGTGAGTGGCTCCCAAGACTGCACCTGCACCCTGTGGGACCTGGACCACCTCACGCACGTAGCCCGCCTGCCCACCCACAGGGAGGGCGTGTCTGCCGTTGCCATCAGCGACGTCTCGGTGAGGCCCCTCTTTCTCAACGTCTGTGTCCGCAGCACGTCGTGAGCCCTGCAGGGTGGGGTGGCGGACAGCGGCCACTACTCTATTTGGCCCCAAATGACAAGGACTTGAAGAGCAAGCACTCTGGACATAAACATGTCAGGAGATGCAGTGGGGAAGTTCGTCCCCAGAAATTCCCTCCGGAGGGACGTGGCCCAACTTTATGAGCCACGTGCAGTCATTCAAAGCCCGGTTCCTTGCCCTCCGCCCAGTCATCTAAAGCTGTTTCCTGGGGACAGGGCTGGTCAGCCAGGGGCAGATCAGTATGCTGCTGGGGGGAGGAGTGTGGGAGGGGCCTGAGGGGCGAGCCTGTCGGTTTGCACTGGGATAAGTAATATCCTCACACGTGACCGCAATATGAAAAGAACCAGAAATGTGAACACGCAGCAGACCTAGGAATCAGCTGGGAAGAAGGAGGTGTCTTTTGAGGTCTCAGAGTACCTTGGTCAGTCCTCAGAAAGTGGCCGGTTGAGGGTGTACAAGTCGTTGTGCAAACCGCATGTCTGAGCAGATGGCCAGTGACCCCAGCCTGAAGTGAGGCCAGCTCTCACCTCTGCAGGGCACCATCGTCTCCTGTGCTGGAGCCCACTTGTCCCTGTGGAACGTCAACGGACAGCCCCTGGCCAGCATTACCACGGCCTGGGGCCCAGAAGGAGCCATCACCTGCTGCTGCGTGGTGGAGGGGCCAGCGTGGGACACGAGCCATGTCATCATCACTGGGAGTCAAGACGGCATGGTGCGGGTAGGTGTGCCTTGTGCAGAATGAGGGCAGGGTACAAGAAATGGGTTCTGTTCTGCACTTCCTCTAAGGGTCACATCTGCAGGCTGCATTTGAGACCATTCCAGACCAGGTCCCCACAGCAAGTGAGGGCAAAGGCAAAGCTCTCCCCAGGCAAAGCGTAAATAAATAAAATTGTATAATATGTAATATATAAAATTTTATACACAGGTATACAATGAAATAAACATTTACTGTCACAGAGTGTGAAAGCTGAATGAGCAAATGCGTAAGAACATAGCCCAGTACTGAAAAGAGATATTTGGGCCATTCATCCATCCATCCACTGATCCATTCACTCCTTCAACTGTTTATCTGTCTACCTACTTATCCATCCATCCATCGTTTCATTATTCCATCCATCTATCCTTTCATCTACCTATCCATTCATCCTTTGATCCAACTATTTATCTCTCTACCTGTTTGTCCCTCCAACCATCCATCCATCCATCCATCCACCGATCCAACTATTTATCTCTCTACCTACTCATCTGTCCATCCATTCTTCCATTCATCCATCCATCCTTTCATCCTTCTGTCCATCCGTCCATCCATCTACCTATTTGTCCCTCCAGCTATCCATCTGTCCATGTATGTGATTCATGCTGTGACTGGGATAATCAAAGAGTGCCATGGATCCTCTGAGAAGGGCCATGGAGAGAGAGACCATCCAGGCTCCAAGACAGGGAAAGAAAAACATTGAGGTGGGAGGAATAACATGGGAAGAACAAAATTCAGGTAGTTTTTCTGCGACTGACAGGAAGGATGAAGGAATGAATAAGATAAGGAGTAATAAGAGGCTTACTCAAGAAACTGTCACTTGAATTCCACAGATTCTAAAGGAAAAGTCAATTGAATGCCACTTGAATTCTATAGCATTTGTGAAAGCTCACTGTGCGCCGACACGGCTGAAACATAGCCTTGTCCTCCAGGAACCTCGATGCTCAAATGTCAGAACAATCATGGAGAAGATGTTTCAGGAAGCAGAACGAATAGCATGGTGGGAGGCCAGGGGGAGCACGGATTTCTTTCCAGCAGAGAGACAGCAAAGGAGGTAGCATTTCAGCAGAGCCCAGAGGATGAGGGGAAGTCAGCGCATATGGGGAAGGCATGGCAGACTAAGGGGCCAGTGTGCGCGGACAGGAGAGATGAGAGCCCCCGAGAAGTCCCCTTACAGGGCCCCATCCATGGGCCCAGAGGGGCCCTGGGTCTCTGCAGAGAGTAGAGTATCCTGGGTTGGCCAAAACTTGAGGAGGTGCTGGAGGTCCGGGCTAGGTGGCTCATGGTCCGCACAACGGGCTGGTCAGGGGAGCCTGGGCTGATAAGCAGCAGGTGCATTTCTTCCACAGTGCCACCCAGAGCATGTGCAGGAGTCTTCGTGCGCTCAGCCCTCATCCATTCAGCAGGGTGGCAGCTCCCAGATGGCCCAGCTCCGGGCTAGACCTGGTGTGGCGCTCACAGAAGCATTTAGATGGAGCTGGCCACTGTGCCATGGGGACAGAAGGTCCAGGCTCCACAAGTGAGAGGCCACCTGTGGTCAGCCTGAGGGCGCTCGCAGCAGGCCTGGGGCCCAGGGGCCAGACACAGAGGACGGGGAGGCCTCCGGGGATGGTGACAGAGGGACAAGAGGGCACTCGCTAAGTAAAGCGATAATAAACTGACTTCTGAGTCCCGTCCCTGCAGGTGAGGGGTTGAGGGGAGATGTCCTGTGGACACGGAGGTGGGGAGTGAGCTCACCCAGTCTGCATTTGTGCCCTGCCGAACCTCCACGCAGGGAAACCGAAGCCTAAGTAAACTTTCTCCTGAGAATATGTCAACCTCAGAAGTGAGAAAGGGGCATGCCCCTCTTCCCTCAGTGTCCCCCAGCTGTGACAGAATGGATGCGCCCCGCCTGAGCCTTCAGACAGGTTCATTTCCCCAGCCCATGGCGTGTTCTCTTTTCTGGACAGATTTGGAAGACGGAGGACGTGAAGATGTCTGTTCCCGGGCAGGCAGCGACCGAGGAACCCTGGGCTCTGCCTCCAAGCCCGAGAGGTAACTGCCCTGCTGGGGATACCCTTGCCTAGCTCGGCCCTCCATCCCCTCTTCTGTCCTCAGCACAAGGGCTGCAGCTCCCCCCAGGCCTACAGAGCCCTGGGAGGCCGTCGAGTGTCTTGGGATGTTGCCAGGTCTAGGGGCCACAGAACCACAACAGCCCACCTGTGTATTCAAGGAACTCACAACTCTGCCTTGGAGAGCAGGGGCCAAACTCCCTCCCCTCCCTGGCCCGGCCCAGAGGAGAGCTCGCTTGTGAAGCAGCCAGGTGGCACTCCGGCTTGAGAGCACACCGTGTCAGTCTTGGGCTCAACCGCCCACTTCTGAAGCCACCGAGGTCTCATGAGCTGAAGGCGTCAGCTCAGCTCGTGGTCCATAAGTCGATGTCTGAGCAGGAACGCTGGCTGCGTGGGGGACGGAAGGAAGGAGGGAGGGGTAGATAAACAAAGAGGGCCTCGGAGCCATTCCGCCGGTTCTGAAAGTGCCAGTGGGTTCCCGGGTTCCTGCTCAGGATCAACGGTGGTGGTGAGCTTGTGTTCACTGGTGACAAGGACTCATGAATGAGCAGCGGGAGGTGCCCTACTCCGGCCCCAGCAGCTTCTCTGGCCCCTGAAGTTCCCTCTGTCTGTAGAGGTACTTCCTCTACATCCTAACCGGTAGGAAGCTGAGGCCAGAGAAATAGTGGACATAGACAGGAGTCCACTCAACAAAATATGGGTCATTATTATCATTTTCTGGGACTTCCAAGAGACGTCTACCCTGACACACCAGCCAGTGACATTAGGGGACCTACAATGGCGTCAGACTGACAGGAGCCCCAGGCCCTCACCCTTCCCCTGCTGTTTGTCCTGACCTGCCCAAGGTCACCACTGTCAAATCGAAGTAACTACCAGGGTTGTGGTTACAGTTCAAGGGAGGACTTGGATGAAATGACACGAGGGCACCAACATATTAATAAAAATCGGGCTGTGCCGCAGCGTGGAGTCAGCGAACCCATGTGCAGATTTGCAAACCTAAGCCCCTGGAGGGTTTTATGTTCTCATAATACTGCTTCACACTGTCTTGCCGGAAGGGGACCGTCCTGGGCCTGACACGTGGCTGTTTGCACGGGTCTTGTGCGTGTGTTTCGCTGCATCCCTCAGATGCCGCAAGGGGCACGAAGGGGGTTCTTTGAGGATATTGAAGATACTGTGTTTGTGTGCGGATGTAATCTGGCTTCTGCCTGGGATTCATTTATTTGTCATTTGCAGCAGGGGCCAACCCAGTTGAGTACACTTTATTTTAGGAATCACGCCACAGATTTGGGCTCAATCTGGTCCATAAAACGTGCTTAGGAAAAGCTTGGTTTTTGACCTTTTGCACAAACCCAGAAACCACATGCATTTCCTGGTGCACAGAACTGTCTGCCACCCTGGGACAGCGGGGACAGCCACATCAGTCCTGCCCCGACTCCACCCAGGTGACTTTGCAGAGACGTCCCCAGCCAATGTCTGTCCATCTTACCCTCCACGAAGGAATTACCGTCTGTCCCCAAATCCAGTCATTAAAATGAGTGGAATAACAATCATCAAGTTATGTTTTTTGAGAAAAACCTTCTCAGCATTTAATTATCGGTTGTGGCGTGAGAGGATTTAGATAAGTTGATAATGCCGGCTTTATGTAATTTATTTTTACTGGGCAATTATGGGCCGCATTACACCCTGGCAGCAAGGTATTGTGGGGCATCTTATTAAGCATACAGCCAGTAAACACTGATGAACAATTTTGCTGAACTAGGCATGCAATTTAGAAAGCAATAATACACAAATCCAATTTGGTACACAATGGATACCGCAGCACGTCAGCACATGTAACTATCACAGCCTGCAAATTAAATTGGGACGGCCCTTTTTTGCAACAGCACAGGCCAAGATTAAATCTATTTTCCCCCTCAATTTAACAAGTTGCTGACCACAAATGTATGTGTTTGTGTTCGTAGCCGTGCATATGGACATACACACGCACGTGTGTGAAGCCACCGGGGTTTTCTAACTGTCCCCTCGCACGCCCCTCACAGGTCACAGGTGGGAGAAGAACCTCGCCCTTTGCAGAGAGCTGGATGTCAGCGTTGCTTTGACAGGGAAGCCCGGCAAGACCAGCTCTGCGGTGACGGCTCTGGCCGTGTCCAGGTAACGGTGGCCTGGCTGCTCCAGGCCTCCAGCAGAGGGCGCTGTATCCTCCCCAGGAAGCCCTGGCTGTTCCTGTTGTGGCCACGGGGCCCTGAGAGGTGCAGCCTCACTCCAGGGACCCCCGGACCCAGGCAGGCCCAGCGTGTGCAGCGTACAGGAGGGGTGGCCATGGAGGGCCCTTGGAAATGTTTTTCGACACATTAATGTTCTTGCTCGCTCTTTCTTACTTTTTAAAATTTTTTCTTTCTTTCTTTTTTTTTTAATTGAAGTATAGTCAGTTTGCAATGTCAGTTTCTGGTGTACAGCATCAAGTTTCAGTCATACATGTACACACATATATTCCTTGTCATATTCTTTTTCATGATAGGTCACTACAAGATACTGAATATAGTTCCCTGTGCCCTACAGTAGGACCTTGTTGCTTATCTATTTTATATGTAGTAGTCAGTATCTGCAAATCCCAAGCTCCCAGTTTACCCCTTCTCACCCCCTTTCCTCCCTGGTAAGCATAAGTTTGTTTTCTATGTCTGTCTCGCTCTCTTGAATATCTGTGAATTCATAAAGAAATCCAGAAGGTAAAAGTATATCGTTCTGTGATTTTGTCCTAAAAGGAGGCCTTTTTCCCTGAAGTCCTCTGCCAAGTGCAGTATTTGGAATGACAGTTATACTGCATCACAGAGAACGCCTTTCGAGGGCTCTAAGCGCACGCGGAATAGACGAGGGTCAGAAACCACACTTGCTGACACTGTTTATTCTTCACAAACGCCCAGCGGCAGGACTCACGAGCGCCAGCCTGCCCTCCACGCTAGGAAGTGTCGTCTCAGGAGGGGGCAGGCCTCCGGGGAGTTGCATTTCTTCTCCCCTCCCCGCCCGGGAGTGGGCCGCTTGGGGTCCCTGGTGGTGGAACCACATGCCATTCTAGACAGCAGGCTGAGGTGGGGTGGCTCGGGGCTAGGGGTGGCACGTGGGTAGACAGAAGGCCCTGAGCCCTAATTCTGTGCTGGAGAACTGGCCCTTCCTCCCACCCATGGGCCTGGCTGCATCTCTCACAGGACAAGAGACACACCTGGAGATGCTGGAGAGAAAGTCCGGGCCTCGCCCTGCTGCCTGGAGCCTGGGCATCCGAGAGCGTCCACTCAGTGCTCTGGGGGCCACAACCCTCCTAATGCAAAAGGTCTCCCTGTCAGAAGATTCTCCAGGGCCCCTGCCCTGCCTTAGGTGGAGGCCCCGGGCCAGGTGCAGGCTCCTGGGGGGCCTGACCGAAGCCCCCCGCCCCCGATGGTGCCGTGTCCTGAGTGCAGGCTGGGACGAGCAGGCTGGGTCTAACACTCCCGTCTCTTCTTTCTCTTCCCCAGAAACCAGACCAAACTCCTGGTCGGCGACGAGAAGGGGAGAATATTCTGCTGGTCTGCAGAGGGGTAGGAAGAGAGAGCCAATGGAGGTCCTGGCACGGCAGCTGGGTGCCCCAAGGGGCAGCAGCACCAGGTGGAAGACGGGGAAGCAGAGCCTGAGGCAGAAAGGAAACCCCCAGGGCCTCCCTTCCTCCTGGTCCCCGAGGACGGGGTGGCTGGCCACCAGAGCCCCACACCTGGAGCCCCCTCTATGGCCGTAGGACTTGACCTTGGCGCTGCACAAGGATGCGCTTCTACAAAACCGATCTGTGCGCGCACCCGGGGCCTGCGAACAGCGTGCTGGAAACCATGGCTTACAGGTGCCCACGGGCACACAAAATCACATGACTCATCTTTCTGAGGGCTTGTTGCACTGAAAAAACATTGAGTGGCTTACTGGAAACTAATGGGAAGGCCTAGGTTGTCTTTATTTTATTAAAACAACTGTTTTCCAAATGCAAGAGGGCTCTTGAGTTGAAAATTGCCCCCCTTTCCCACTGAGGCATTTGGAGCCCCTCACTCAGGCAGGAAGGCCTCGGGGAAGCACAGCCCACCTTCGAAGTGTGCCTCAGCCCCTCCATCTCCCTCAGTGGAATCGGGCTTCTCCCGTGTCTTGTCCGCCATGCAGGGGTTCTCGGGGAGGGGTCCTCACTCAGGAGGCCCCACTTCCATGGCTGAGGCTCAGGACGTGGAAGGCATAGGCGAGTCAGCTGGAAGGAAGACCCCGCCTAGGGTGCCTGTGCCCGTCTCTGCTCCCTGCAGTGGGCGGCGGTGGGTCCCGGCCGGCCTCAGGGGTTTCCCAGGGACCCGTTCTTACAAGGTAAAGAGCCCCAGTCCACGTGCTGATTTGGAGTTGCAGCTCATCCTGGGAAAATCTGGACTGCCATGAGACATTTGTTCTCCATCTGAAAATAACATGGCAGGTGGGTGGTTGGCCCTGCAGAGGAATTCCAGTACCTTCTAGTGCCTGAGTCACTCTCCAGTCATTGGTTCATTGGACACCGGACATCGGTTCAGTCATTGGACATTGAAGACATCACCCTCATTCTAACGTCTCTCTCCACCCCCAGCCTTTCAGACCCTTGAAAAGAAATTCACCTGCATCTTCAATGAAATCCAGCCAAAGTGGGTGCACAGGGATATGGGGGGGAGTGACACTTTTTAGCTGTAACTCCTTCCCTGAAACTTTCCTTCGAGAGAACACAATCCTTCCAGTATGTCTCCAAGCCCTGCAGAGGCCCCGGTGGCTGGCCCACGCCAGTTTAGCTCAGGCCTGGGGATGGCCAAAAAAAAAGGACTCAGTGTCTTAATGGCTTGGGCGATCTGGCCTCAGCTGGTGAGTGGTGGGTGCACAGGGAGTCAAGGTAAAGACAAATATGAAGGAAGAAGAGGTGGTATATCTATGTCAAAAATAGTGAGTGAAGGCTGGTTAGAAAATAGTGCTCTACCTGTCAGCTTGGAGGTCTCTGCAGAGGGCACCCTGGAAGAGGAGGCGCATCTCAGGTCCGCGCAGCCCTCCCTGGGTGAGAAGGGCGCATGTCTGACCCCAGGGACCAAGGATCACACCACCTCCGGCACTGTCTGCATGTGCTATTAGCAGACAACCCATTTGCAATCCCCTAGTCCGTCTGGGGCTGCACCGGAGGACCATAAATGGAAGAGCAGAGAGCACCCCTCCCCAGGAAGGCCAAGAAGCAGGGTCGTAAATATCGAGGGTCTGCCGTCATGTTTCCAAACGCAATTCCCAGCGTTTACTCCGCGCTGAAAGGGCTGCTGGCCCGAAGGCCATCTTGAGCTCACTGATTCAACCAGCATCGCCTGAGCACTGCCTCTTACATCCCCGTATCACAGGAAAAATGGGGGGATGGAGTCGGGTCTTGTTGCTGGGGGCTTGGGGCTCAGATGTTTGTGCAGAAAAATGTGACATGAGGTGGAAAGGCTAAAGAGAGACTTCTCGTGCCCTAGGGAGTGACATCCTGGCTGTGGTGGTTCGCTAGGGCAGCCAGAGCAAAGTACCGCAGGCTGGGGCTGGCAGTCTGAGATGAACGTGTCCGCGGGGCTGGTTCCTTCTGAGACCACTCTACTTGGCGTATTGATGGTCCCCTTCTCCCTGTGTCTTCACATGGTTTTCCTTTGTACCCGTTTGTGCTGAATTTCCCCTTCTTAGAAGGACATTAGTCCTACTGGATTAGGACCCATGCACAGGACCTCATTTCACCTTAATTGTCTCCTTAAAGATGTTCTCCAAATACAGTCACATTCTGAGGTCCTGGGGATTCAGACTTCAGTGTATGGTCTTGGGGGAAGACAGTTCAACCCATGACACTGACTGAAGGAGGCGGCCCTGCAGCAAGACTTGGAAGGACAAGTCCGACTTAGCCTTGGGAGCTGGAGAGTAGGGTTTAAAGGAACAGGGGACAGTGTGGGCAGAGACAGGACATGTCAGGCTGGAGGCAGAAAGAACAAGCAGGCAGAGACAGAAGGCCAGGCAGGGGCTGGGGCTGGGGGCGGGGGAGGCTGTTGCCCTGGGGCTGGAGGCTCGTGATGGGGTGGGGTGAGTGGGAGTGAGGTGGGTGGAGATGGACTCCCAGTGCCCAGCTCATAGAAGGTTCTCCTCAAGTGTTGCTTAAGTCTACTAACCTATGGATGAGTGACTGAACCGTGGTGGCAGACATTTCAGAGTCGGTGGTTCTGGGAGAGGAAAAACCCCTCTGAGTGATGGCAGGTGCAGTAGCAGCCCCTCCACTGTGGGAAGAGACTCCAGGAGGAGGACGGGTGCCGTGCCTCGGGCCCAGGATGCAGCTGGGGATGGTGGCAGCAGCCTGGAATGAAGTAGTCGATGCCCTGCATGGAGCTGGGAGCGGTGGAGCATCCGTGGAGCAGGAGAGGCGGAGGACACAGCGAGCCCTGGGGAGGAGGCGGAGGAGGAGTGGGGAAGGCAGGCTCACTGTCAGGTGCTCCCGCATCTATGTCAGGGAAGATTCAAGTGATTTCCTAGTGGCACTAAATTGAGAGCCCGCCTTCCACTGGGATCAGCTCCCTTGTCCCCTGAAGGAAGGAAATTGCTCTGCACACAGATCCAGAGGGGAGCGGGGACGCCCTGACCATCACTGCAGAGCTCCCCCGCCATAGGCTCTGGTGGGGTCCGAAGCAGCGTCTCCTGGGGGAACAGAGTGGCCCTGGAAGGGGGAGGAGAAAGCTCAGGCACAATGCACGTCCAGGGTCCACAGGCTCTGGGCAACCTGGGTGACAGAAGGGCCCCGCTCAGAATTTCGGCAGCCGGCTGGTTGGGCCTGGGGTCCCTGACGATGGTCAGTGATGGAGGGAAACCCAGGCTAGAGGCCCGGGGAGTGGGGCGGGGGAGCAGGCTCGGCACCTGCACCCTCACCAGAGGGGCAGCCAGGGCAGAGGCGGGAGCACTGGCAGACCGGGCCGAGGGCCACGTGGGTGCGAGCTTGCCAGCACCCCAAATCCATCAGGGACAAGGGGGCCCCGAAGCAGGAGCCGTGCCAAGCTGGACCTTCACAGCTCAGTGCTCGGAGAACAGAATCTGAGAACAGGCACACGCAGTGAAGGTCACGGATGAGAGCAGCGCCCAGGGACCAGGCAGCCTGAGCCCCGTTCCCAGTGTCCCCACTTGTCGCCAACTTCAGCCTCGGCTTCCGTATCTGTAAGATTGGACCCTGGTGTCTACACGAGGGCTGGTTATGAGACTGAGGTCACATCTGTTTATCTGCTGGAGGGATGAAGAAAACGATGGACCACCAGTCCTGAAATGATGTCATCTTTCAACCCATCACTTGTCCATTCACTCACCACTATCTTTTCTCGCTGAGCCAGGCCTTGTGCTGGGGCCCCAGGGGACAGAGAGCCATTCTGCCCACGCCCGGGAAGCCCCCTGCCAGCGCCGGGGAAAGACACGGAGAAAACCCGGGGGGAAGCACTCTCACTCATGCCCAGACGTGTGTCAGCTGGAGCCCAGGCGCACATGCGGGGATGGCATTGCTTCGGGAATTCTGAAACACAAGTCCGGCTCTCAGGCTCTTGGTCCCCAGCTAGAGCAGAAGCTACAGTTTGCATGTTGGGGAAAAAAAATTCTCCCAGGTGATACTGTTGTGAGTCCCCACAAGAAGATGCTCTGGAGGAGACAGTGACAGGACGGGATGAGGATGGAGGAGTTTGTCCCCTGCTGCCCACCCTGCAGTGTCAAAACAGGTAGCTTGTGAGTGGCATCTGAGATCGGGGACCCCGTAGTCCACTCCCGTTCACCAGCTCAGCCTGAGACAGCAGCCATGCCCAGCTCTCAGCCAGCTGAGCTCCTCTCGCGACAACTTCTTAATGACTTCCCCCAACCCCTCGGCTGTGACGACCCAGGGCCCCGAGCCCACCTCCACCAGCAGTGCCGCAGCCCCTGGTCCCGCCCTGGGACAGGCTCAGCAATGCTCACCATTCCAGATGAGAGCTTCTCTCCCCGCCCCCATTCGTCCTGGTAACACTCAGCATCCTCTGAGAGGCTGGGGAAGAGGGCCCAGAGAAAGGGACATGCCTCTAATTGCAGACAGGAAAGCAGGGCTTCCCAGGGCGTCTGCAAAAGCACCAGCTCAGGGTGCGCACCCGAGTCCACCCTCCGGGAGGTGGCTGTACCCACTGTGGGCCCCAGGAAGACCCAGGCCATGCCCACCTCACCATCTGGGCTGGTTTGACCTCACCTGGGATATACTTTAAAAAGGCGTTTGTTGTTTATTGGAAGTTGAAATTCCCCAGTTGGGCATCTTGTGTTTGTATTTGCTAAATCAGAGTGCCCTGTACCCTGGACGCATTAGAGGCCAGAAAGGGTGGTGCCCTGGCCAAAGGCATGACACACCCCACAGGCACTCAGTGTGTGTTGGGGGAACTGTTTCTCTCAAGCAGACAGAAATTCAACAGTGGAAGCACGTGGAAGAACCAGGTTCCCAAGGCCCCTGGGTCCCTCTGGCCCTCACTCCTGAGGAATAGAGCCTCTTGTCCCACGCTAGCCCTCTGCTTTCATTCCTTTGTGCCCTGGGCTCCTGGGAGAGAAGCCTAGGCCCCTGGAAACCAATTGTGACAGCAGCGGCCTCCCCCAAGCCCAGCCGGTAGCCAGGAGCCGAGCCCTGAGAGCCCAGTCCTGGGGCCTGCCGAGAACTCGGAACCTGGATTTGAGCACATTAGCATGCCGCCAAGCCGGGCACGTCTGGGGAGGAACAGACTCTTCATATGAAAACCCTGATGAAATTTGTTTAGCATCAAATCAAATCTTTCTAAGCCAAAATCAGTTTTGCTTTAGCCAATTCTTGGGTACACATCACACGTCCAGATCAGGTGTGTGTGTGGGTGTGTGTGTGTGTGTGTGCATGCGCGCGCATGCTCACATGTGTGTGTTGTTTCTATTGTGCTCTTACAGGCTGCTGCCCACAGCACCTTCATAGCTTCTTAGTAAACA